GATTAAAGAAGGGAGTGAATCTGAAATGATGGAGATCAGGAAAAAGCAGAGGGTATGGATGACAATTTTGGGGCAGTTTTCACTCAGTATCCTCCTCTAGACAAAGTACCAGACCAAAATACAGAGTCAACAAACCACCTGTTCATCATGGACTTCTATCAAGACGATGAAATTTAGGCTCTTAGCACCTCAGACATGGAAAAGTCAACAGGACTAGGTGAAATACACCCCAAATTCTTGAGACATATTGCACAATATATCACGGCCTCATTAACTGTGATATTCAATGTCTCTCGACCAAGGTGTGTTACCTACGGACTGGAAGAATGCAATCGTCACTCCCATACATAAAACAGGACTAGGACGACTTCCATCGAACCACAGACCTGTAAGCCTCACCAGTGTTGTAGTTAAAATATTGGAAATAATAATCAAACGGACCATAATGACATCTATGGAAATCAATAGCCTGTTAAACAGCAAACAACATGGTTTTTGAAAGGGTTTATATTGTACAACCAACCTCCTTGTAGCAAGGGAATATTATATGAAGGCGCTAGTGGATGTTGACCACATAGACTTCAGTAAGGCTTTTGACAAGGTGTCAACTAATAGACTGCTACTAAAGTTAGAAAATCTTGGTATTGCCGGACCTCTTTTAAAATAAATTAAGGATTTCCTAGTAGGTTGTAGACAGAAAGTAAGAGTGAATTCGAAGTGCTCCACCTGGAGACCGATACTTAGTGGAGTATCTCAAGGTTCTGCACCAGGTCTTTTACTTTGTATACAGTATGTAAATGATCTCCCAAGTATAGTACAGCTGACAATGTTATTATACTCTGACGGTGTAAAACTCTGGCGAGAAATAACGGGAGACGCAGATACATGCACACTTCAGGTAGACTTAAATATAGTGATTAACTGATCTAAACGGCGGCTGATGACTATCAACGCGGCAAAATGTGTCTACATAACATTTGGTGATGCAAAGATTAATAGGTACAGAATTGGGGAAGTGTCTGTATCCGTGGTCTGGCCGCACAAGGATCTTGAGTGTCAGTGAGTTATGACCATAAGGCCATTGCCCATTTACGGGAGGTCGCAGCTAAAGGGTTTGGAACCTTATGAACTTTAAGGCGGACATTCACCAAGATAAATACTATCATGTTCACTACAATATCAGCAACCTTAGTTAGAACTAACCTTCAGAACTGCGTTCAGGCTGCAAACACCTGCTTAAAAGGTGACTAGGATATCCTAGAAAAACTGAAGAGGGCAGCTACCTGTGCAATTTTCAGAACTCCGGGGTTTACCGTACAAAGAGAGGCATGAAAAGCTGGACCTCTTTACTCTGTCCTATTGCAGACTAAGGGGAGATCTAATTTTGATGTACATAATGCTGAGAAACGAGTTTGGACCTAATATATTCTCTCTTTACCTTTTCACTAGATCGGGACATTTCAGAGGACATAGCAGGCGAGTAGAAAAGGCAAGAACGAACGAAATATCCGTTGCATACATGTTTTCACACCGAATCATCAATACTTGGAACCTGCTGCCCGAAACAGTGGTGTCCGCACCTTCGATTGACACGTTAAAAAAGCACTAGACACTCACAAAAGCATACCAAAAAAGGAATAACATAAGCCGTAGGCCTTCTGTCCTTACTACATAAATCTGAATCTGAATATTGAAAACTGACCTTGAAGGCGCAAGCGTTTAATGGGTACGTTGCGTATGAAGTAAATATGTTTCTTATGTGTGTTTGTAGATCATGTTCTTAGTATCTAATAAGCAGCTTTTAAATTGAAGCCTAATGTCTAAAATAGTGAATTTAGTGCTTGATATTTAAGAGTTCATAGATCTAGTGCCAGCTTTGTAGTGATCGAAGCAAACAAAAATGTTCTATTGCTGCCATTTATTTTATTTTACACACATTAATAAATGACATAAGACCTCGATATTTCTCATCACATACAATAGCTGATTGTGAGAAACTTTGTCGAAGGCTTTGCGGAAGTCAGTGTATGCTACGTCTGCAGGTAACGTTTGGTCTCTATGAGCGCACCAACTTTCACGAGCCAATAATAAGTTAGTGAGACAGGAATAACCATGCTACTTTTCAGAAAAAATTCAGTTTTAATCGAGATACGTAAACAGCTTCCGAATAATCTTTTCTGGAATTTTAACAATCACACTGGCTATGCTAACGGGTCATTAGTTCTCAGATTTGTGTTTCGCATCTGTTTTGAAGACAGGAGTTACTATGGCGTTCTTCTAGTCTTTTGGTGATCGACCCTGGGTTACGGATGGATTGGAATCTATGCTTAGGGGGTTCGCAACGAAGTTAGCTTGTTCCTTTTGTAATCTAGGATGCATTTCACCCGGTCCCGTGGATTTGCCTGTATCAAGCTTATTTAGCAGACCAGAGCCATCCAGTTCTTTAATGGTCACATTGTCCAGTGTGTGGGGGGATTTGTATGAACTGACAGGAGGGGTGTTTTCACGGTGTATACGTTGCTAAAGTAGTTTGATAATACTTGAGTGTTACTACAATCGTCCACTAATGATGAAGTATTACTGTTTCCCCGTAGTGCTGGAATATTTCTTTATCTCTTAGTCCTTTGGTGTATGTACGAATACAAGCGTTTTGGGCATTCTTTAACGGTTTTTTCTTCTCAACCTTCTAGACTTACGGAGGGCCGAAACACAAATATTTATAGCTTCTCGATATGAAAATTCTGTCTCATCAGTATCCAGTAACCTAAATATTCCCCACATTCCCTTACAGAGAAGGGTGCTAACCTCCATGCTGAACCATGGTGAAGAGTTTCTCGGACCCCTTGGTGTAGCCCAAGGGGTATGGAGTGCAGTAACTTTTTAGTATAGGTTTCGAAATACATCCCAAGCTGTTTCAGTTGGGGACTTTGGCTCTATTGTACGATCTGTTTAGGATGCTGAGTGTATAACATCTATTTTTGCTGTCTAGACGTTAAATCTGGGTCGGGCTGATGCGTGCTCATTTTTGATAACTATACGGAAGTCAAAGATTAGAACTACATGATAACTTACCTAAGGGCGGCATGTAATGAAGGTTTGTGACGTCATCCTCATAATGGGTCAATGTAAAATCTAGTAAGGATGATTTAGATTTCGGATCGTACTTACTCTCCTCTTTCACATGTTGCACTATGGCACATGTGATAACTGCACCAACTAGTTCCTGCTCGAAGTGATTTTCTGGCAATTCAGTTCTCAGATTTTTACAGTCTACCTTAAGTCCTTCAATGGGTCGAGTTTTTAAAATCAGTCCTTTAGTTTACCATGAAGCTTTAATAACTAATCCCATTAGTACCAAATATACTTTTTTCGTAGTCTAAAGACTTGCGGAGTAGAGCATATGTCGGTTAATGACGATATAGTTATAAACACATATTAATAGGTAGACATAGATTCGTGTACTCAGCTTTAAATCAGACTTTATGTCTCAGGATCGTCAACAATACTGGTCCACTCAAGCGAACGACAAACAACTAAACTATTTAGTACATGCATACTGCAGTGACGACTATACAAGCGTAGTTTAGGTAACTTCGAGCCCGATGTTTAATAGTTTAAATGACCAAATTTGAGTCATTTTGAGGTGTGTCCAAAGTTTTAAAGCTCCTCACTTCTAGAAGCGGTGTAGTGGTTTGAACGTTTTAAAACCAAGACAATAAACCTGTATTTCATCTGAGTATATTTTTTACCAAATAGTTCGACTGAATTAATGCTGAGAAACTCAGAACACCGTGTTACAACTTACTGAGTGATGAATGTAGCCAAACACAAGACATGAAGTCACTGACTGCTGGTCAGAGTCGTACACAAAGTTGCTGATTTCTCGATTGCGGTTTGTGCGATGTTATATGTGGCTAAAGATATCAGGCGATATGAATTAAGATAGTCGCTTTCTTATGGTCCAATTCATCCTGTCTTCTAGAGTTAAACACCGGTAGCATACCAGTATTTTCATTTCTCAACCTCCTTCGTTTCTTTGGAACTATATATTTTTTCGTGTCTAGTTTTCCGCTCCAAATAATATTGCTACTTCCACTCATTTGCTTTTCATCTTGTCAGTTTTCGTTTTTTTCTGATATAAATTGTAGAATTTTGGGTCGACATATTTGTGTTAGGTTTCGGGTTTTGTGGAATAAACATTGGTTAGCAATTTGCACCTAAGTTGTTAAAAAAAGACCTCTAAATTAGGAATGACAAATTCTGAATTTGAACATTACCCTACTTGTTAATGTATGAATTGGTCAGTGTAGTTGGTTGTTTGAAAATTCCTTTTAAGACCCGCACTTCAATTACTTTACTACATCCTCTCTGTGTGTTCATATACTGTATTCCTTCGCCAATGCTTCAACTGAACAATTGTGGGATTTAGTTATGATAAAATTTTCGGGTAGTAATCTTACAGATATTTTATGAATGACTAGCAGATAGATCTTACTTATTGTTCGATTTAATTTACTATGAAAAAGTGGCTTTCATTGAGTCACGAAACATCAGAAATCCAAATTCCCACTCAATGGGTATCACAAATATGTCATTATCTCCAAGGAAGGGCGAGAGGCTGGCCGTATCGTTTTTGCACACAAAGTTAAGGACTGGATTGGTGGATTTTCAACGCCTCAGGAGTACACAGGTTCTTGATCTGATCTCCTGTTGATCCAGTTCTTTTGACTGTATAGATTAATTTAAAGCTCGACTCCTTTGGAGTTAGTCAGGCGTTCCCTTATTGAGCTAGTAATACCTTTTTGTTACCTTTCTAAGAGCTATACCGTGTAATATTCTGAGACGCGTTTGGAAAGTGTTTTCGTTGTGCATACATTGTAACATGCCCCAGCGACAGTCCAAAATAAACCTCTCTTTAGGTATGCCAAACTTAAAGGATATATGGAGATCTTGAATAAACAGATCTCAAAATCCTTGAAGAAAACCTACTAGGCTAAGCTTTGTAATATGACTATTTTATTATTGACTAACAGATTTTCGTTCGGAAATTTCTGTCAATAGTTTTTAACAATAATGCTGTGGGATCCTTTATGGTATAATAATTTAATCCTTGTTACAGTTATTAAACCACCACTTAATTTTGCCGTGCTTTTATATCTAGACTAACACAATATATAAAGTCATCAATAAATATAGTCGTGGGTTTTATTCAAAGAATCATAGAATATTTCCGTTTAAAAATATATATTGACTTGAATAGCTAACTAAGCCAACCAGTCTAGATGGTTCATAAAACGTCGTTACTATTAACTCATATGACTGTTGTTTACTGTTACGGTGAGACGTAAATCTTGGGCAACTGGTTGCAGTGCATCCGTAAGAAGACTATTGATGTGGTGTGTTATTGGGTCTCGACCGGTAGTCACATGCTATCAAAAGTGATTCTAAAAGCAAATCGTCCTTTTCTTTCATTGGATCTCAAATTTTTGATCGCATAATATTCCAGATTTTTGTAGTCATTGAAATTTAATATCTTAATAATACCTATTTTTTGCATAGTTTAATGTCGGGTCAGCTGTCGAAATCATGCACAATCATGCAGGTAATTTTTTTCTTCACAGCGTTTTCCTATAAAGGTAGTATGGTTCTTTGTGATAATTTGTAGCTTTTGGGTGCTTTAACGATTAACGGATTTTGGAAACTAAAATATGATGTTATTAGATGTGAATCAGCCAATCAGCATGCACCAACGCAATCGTGCATGCTTTAATCCACTCTGTGTCCCGCTAACAGTTAGTAATGCAAATTAAAAGCATTGTTTGCTACGGATTATTGTAATAGTCGATTGACCAAATTGAATTGATCATCTACCATTTTGTGTTTATGTTATAATAAAAATAATCTTTGGTTATCCTCAGTTTCGTCCCCAAATGCCCTGGTACCGCTGAGGGTGGGGAGGGTCAACTCTCTCGAGATGCTCTCACATGGCCACACGTATACAGACACTGCCAGGGAAGTCCTAGTCATTACCTTCTCGCAGCGGGGGTGTTGTTTACGAAATTAAAAAGACAAAAAGCGAATATCTGGCTCTTTAACCGGATTGGTGGACACCTAGGGGAGTTGGAAAACCTTGATTCCAAACCAATGGTGCACATGGGCTCCAGTATCCTGAGGGAAAAATGGCGTATGAACCAATCGTTGGTCACCGACTACCATGGGACTGCATCTCACGATGCTCCACTGCCTTGTGGATCAGACGTTCAGGTCGAAGGTTCTAGGTGTGGCCCCCTAAGAAAACCACCTACTTCAGTCTGGGCACCCGGGCGGTATCAAGGCCTACACACAAATCAAGTGACTTGTGTAACGCATATGTATTTGGTGCCTCCTTGTACCAATATTTATGCGTTTAAATAAATAAACTAAACTTCAGGCCATAGCTATTATAAGGAAGTTAACAACTCCGCCAACCTGCTTTGGTATGTAGGAGACAGCTAAAACCTGTAACTCAGAGGTCATAGTTTGAGAACCCAAACCACTGAAAAAACTGTTCTTAACAGTACTGGCGCAATAAATCCTACCATTAACCTAAGCTTGAGTTGTTTACAATTTTTTATCTTAGATATCAATGCCACTTTTGAACTTGATAGTTTCAAATAAATTGAACACTGCGTAGAAAGTTAATAATAAATATATTTTTGTGATATTCTAATAAAGAAGTGATTTAAATTATGTCACGAAACGTCGGAAATACAATTTTATGCTCATTGGGATATCATGATACCTAAAAGGTTAGCATGGACCCTGTGCAATGATCTATAATTGTATTTTAATAATAATAATAATAATGATAATAATAATAGTACGAGTTATTTCAATGTTAATCAGATAGAAAGGAATATTTGCCCCCAAATGCCCTGGCATCCAGTGGCAACACCATGTCAGTAATGCAGAGGTTCGACGTCGAGTGTTCGGTCACAGAGACGATAATGAAATTGGTGTCACCATCTTGAAACACCGACTTCGGTGGCTTGGACATGTTCTACGAATGTCGTTCCAGAGAATTCCACGTCGTGTATTATTTGCCGACTCTGGGACTGGTTGGAAAAAGCGGAGAGGTGGTCAGTATATGACATGGTGTCGTGGTATGAAAGAAAGCTGTAAAGGGCTGGCTTGTGTTGGTCCTTCACGACTCCCTGGTTGGAGTCCGAGAGACGGTGTAACGCAGTGGCTAGAGACGTTATCAGATATGGCTCAGAATAGAAGCCAGTGGCGATCCTGCTGTAACTTTATTTTACTTTCTTCATAAAAAGTGTTTGTATCTTCCTTAACTGAAAGATCTCTTCTGATTGTACCTTTCCGTTTTCCCCATCATTGTTCTCTCTCTCTTTTTTTTTATTTATCTATAATTCCCCACTTTCATTACTTTTTTTCTCTTTTCTCCTCTTCAAATTGTCATTGTTTTGTGTGGCGCATATATATTTGGTGCCCCCCTGTACCAATATTTATGTGTTCAAATAAATAAATAAAATAAATATTTGTATTTTCATAACTTGTTGCTAATTGTTGGGAGTTAGAACTTTTCACTTAGTTCAGTTAATTGAATGTTCCTATCCATCATATGGTGTTCTAGTATACCGATACTTATAAAGTCAACCAATTAAGGTCCTTTCAATCATAATCATTTTATACGATCATGGAGTTGCTTCAATCTATCACTTTCATGACATTTTCCACGGATGCCGTCCCAGTGAATTCCACGTCGTGCATTATTTGCTGATGCTGGGACTGGTTGCAAAAAGCGAAGAGGTGATCACTGTATGACATGGTGTCGTAGTATGAAAGAAAGCTGTACAGGACTGGCTCCTGTCGGTCCTTCACAACTCCCTTGTTGGGGTCCTAGAGAAGGTGCAACGTTATAGACGTGCGACGTTATCAGATGTAGCTCATAATAGAAGTCAGTGGCGATCCTGCTGTAACTTTATTTTACTTTCTTCATAAAAAATGAACGTAACTTCTTTAACTGGAAGGATTTCTGGTTGTACCTGTGCTAAATGAACTACCCCTCCAATTATTATTATTTCGCTATCATACACTAATTTCTGTATGTTATTGTTCCCTTCTTATACGCACCTCACATTATTTATCTCTTCATAATCTCATTGTTATTGTGTGGCGCATGTGTATCTGGTGCCCCTTTGTACCAACAATTGTGTTCAAATAATAAATAATAATAATTCATGAAATGTCTAGGATGTATCTAAATAAATCTCTTTAAAGTGTTTCTACTCTTTTACTGGATGTCTTTGTGCCAATGAGATATCATTTTATTGAGGTTAATACACAGAGCTTCTAAGTTTACTTCTTGTGCTTAACATAGGATCCTGTCTCAAATCCAAATACTGAAGAGGCCACTTATGATAATGACAAAAATTCCCATGGAAGATGTACTTCATCATTATATGAAGATGATGTGAAAGTTATGGAAGTGAAGGAAAAAAACCTGGGTAAGTAAAATACTCTAAATCTAATTCATTTGATTGTTGTTAAATTAAAAGTTTCATTTTATCAACAAATGTTTAATGGTTAACCCACTTTTTTAAGCTTCCAAAGTAACAAAGTCAGTTGTTATTTCTTAATTGGAAATAAAAATCGATCATCTGTATTTACGAAACCTACTAACTCTTCTCAATCAAAAACTACTATTTATTACCGCAAACCCAAAATGATCAAGATTCAAACATATAAATGCCATTTTGATGTGCAATATCTAATGATTAGCTAGAATGTATGATTTATGTTTGTTCCAACGATTTATATTGTTTGAAAGCTGAGATTAGTCTGAAGTTACCGACATACCATTATATTTGAACATAAATAGCACTGTGTTCAAAAGCGTATTTCACTATAGTGTCGCAAGCAATCTTATCTCTTGTGTAGTTTTGATTTTTCAAGCATTCTAAATGTTTAATTATAACTGAAGATATTCACTTAGGATGTAAACAAAAGATAATCGGATCGTAATGAGCTCTAGTATTGGACTTTAGTAGTAGCGAAGAAAAACAATAGAGAGTTAGAAAGTCGAAGTGTTCAAATAATTTATCTAGTGAAACAGAAGTAAAGAATATTCAGCGAAGACCATCTAGTAACAAAGTATAGAGATTGCAACAAGGTTAAAAAAGGTGGTCAAAAATTTTGAAGACAAAAACTAAGTTCACTTTCATGAATCTAGAAATGTGATTACTACTCAAGCTTGTGAAAATATGGGATGGAATTGGTTTTAATTTAGCATCCTAACCTTCATATTCAACTAATTATGCATATTAATTATGTTGACCGGAGTTATTTCATAAGGTAACAAACATATAAGTTAAATTTTACTGTTAGGAATAACATGTTTATTATGGAAATTTAAAATTATAAATTTGTTAGTAAGTAATTTATTGCTAGTTTGCACGAGAAATGAGATGCTTAATCATTTTCACTAAAGTATTTCCCTCTAGTGTAGTATTAGATGGTGGTCGGAGGTAGTCGACAGGAAACCCTGGACCCAGGTTTCGTGCTACTTGGCACTCGTCAGCAAGGTGTACCTGTAATCTTTGAGGGAACTGGTGCTCCTTGGCGGACTCGATCCCGTGTCACCCAGCTTCACAGTCAGAGACGTTGCCACTGAGCTATCCGGGCCGCGACCGATCTCCTGTAGGACTGAGATGTAATCACAATTGATTGATCACTGGGTGACCAATATCATGCGTGTCTAGTCCTTATTATTAGTGCAGATCGAATGCTATCGATCATGTTGCAATGTGGCCATCAGTCTAGGTGACTCGACAAGGTCCAGGGTTTCGTATCGACTACCTCCAACCACCATCTAATCTTACAATAGTGCCCGCGGTGTCGAGTCACCTAGACTGGTAGCCACATTGCAACATGATCGATAGCATTCGATCTGCACCAATAATAAGGACTAGACACGCATGACATTGGTCACCTAGTGATCAATCAATTGTGACCTCTAGTGTAGTCTCAAAAAGTCATTTATCTGACTTAGTTTTATCTCCATTGGATAAGTTGTGGTTTTATCGTCAGATGTATTCAATAATGTTTCTGTTTATCTCCTATATTTAATATATAAGCCTCATCATATCAAGATTCTCAGTACACGCGATCTTCTGATGGTTCACAATGTTCAGTTGGACGTAGTAAGGATAGTCCTATGGAAGTAAGTTTCTTTTCTCTCTTAATTACTAGAAACTTTATGTTGTCCCACTATCGTACTGTTTCATATTAAAAATACATACTTAGCATTATATTCGTTAGCTTGTTGAGATTTAGACTGTCTCTGTTAACAACTGTACCTCAATCGCTTATAAGCATATCATTGATATGTATTTTAACTATACCGCTGTTTATTTACATTGAAGTATCTTCCCAAATATCATTTCATACGATATTGCATTTTACTAGAGAGCTGTCACAGTAGTAGACCGAACATGATCAGTTCCGTTGCAGATGAGTATAGCATGATTTATATGAATACAGGTTTGATCTATAACTAGTTTCCCCAACTCCATTCAATTAAAATATCTGAAAGGAGAGATATTATCCCTTTTATACAATTTATTCTATGGAATACATCAATTTGTTTCGGCGATCTTTTAATTCAATATTTTGCTCAGTCATCAAATCCACTTGTTGATCATGTTTAGTTCTTTGATATAACTATTAGGCTTGACCATTTCTTCTGAGTTAATTTAACTAAAACTACAGTAAAAAATAACCAATAATTTCAGTTTACAGAGCGAATTCGTTTTTCTGACTTCACCGAAGTGTGATAGCATCTTGTACGACACTTTTTCTGTTACGAAAAGGAGGTAGTGACTAAACGGGTCGATCTTGCTGTTGATAAGGTTTCCAATGTTCTGACAAGCTCTAGGGAGATAGGTATTTTAAAAATACTGCATATGATGAGTTTGAGTAGGTATTGCTTAGGATCAAGTACTTCGGTGGCAGTAGAAAACAAAGGTTTTATCATTAAGGAGTATAGATCACGCTCTTTTCAGGTTAACTCAATCTACTGAACAGGTTACCCTTATCTCGTTTTACATGTTAATCCTACTCCAGATAGTATTGAATATTAACTTTGAATATGTTATGATATATCTCGCATAAACGTGACCTGATTAAGTCAGTTGGCAATGAATTTTATTTGTCACAGTCACAAATAATCATTGTAGTACTTGTACAGCAGTTGACCTTTTACAGGATTAGATTAGTTGTAATTAGTCACTAAGTTGAACTGACTTAGTCAAAAACTTGTATTTTTGAACATCTTGTTATTTCACAGTTGTACAGATTCCTATCTTCTTCGAAAATATTTTATTCAATTTTAGATAATTTATTTGCTTATTTCATGCATTTACGTGTATGCAGATATATAATTTGTGATATAAGAAGAGCAAGAGAGACTTAATAAAATATTGAATGCTGAGAATTCAATATTGTACTAAATATATAATATAGAATGAAGTCATTACTATTATTGTTTAATTAATTAGATGACGTTCCTCCATTAGAACTGTCCGAATTTTACGGGTTCAGTCCACAATGTGGTCATTGAATGAAGCATCTCAACTTCAGATGATGCCGAGGGATTCAAGAGAAATGCTGAATGTAATTCTTGTTGTAGTTGTCACTTATCAAAAAGGCATAGATATATTATGTATTGTCGTTTGTTTACTTAGTTTTTTTCTTTTTCCCTCAGTTTTATGTTTCGTTACAATGTTTTAAAACATCAAGTAATACATTTGTATAGATATTTTCCGGGGATCAGGGTAGATTTTTGTACTGTTGGAATTTAAGGAAAGTTAAATCCTGACTTTTAAAGTGATTACCAGATTTTGGATTGCCTATTACTAAGAGTTATGTTATATGGTATTGACTAAATTAGATTTTCAGTAGTTTAACAATATTTCGGATCATAACAAATGAAGCTATTATATATATATATATATATATATATATATATATATATATATATATATATATATATACTTTAAAGAATTATTATTATTTGGTCAGAATAATGATGTCCACTTATTCATTAGATAGATATACGAAATATTGATTTTTTTCTCTATTTTGTTTTTCCGAGAACAAACGATTCAACTGTATTACTTATTCTCCGATTTCAAAGTTATATGTACAAAGTCTAATTGTAACTATAACAAAAGTCTTCAATGAAACAAATAAGTTACAAGTATCAATGTTTTAAAATGATTACTAAAGATTCTATTATAGTCGTTTTATAGACTTAATTTTTATTTATTTTTTGTTTATTTTTATTAGAATATTTCACCTTCCGATATCTCATCAAATAATCAGGCAAATGGAGTCCGTTGGCGTCATTGTGTAAACAATGGTCAAGAGATGTACATTAACGATGCAACTAATGAAAAAGTCAGTTTAAGGTTAATAATAATAACTATGATTGTTTTTAATTTTTATAAAATCTTGGAATTCATGTCTTTTTACTTTGGTTTTTCTACTCATTTTAGTTACTCTATGATCATATATCATTAGTAGCTTAAAATAAATAAAAGTTATAGGTTAATTGTGATAGTCATTACGCTTAAATAATCAGTTAGAAATAATTGATTGACAACTGTTTGTACTCACTTTTTCTCTTAATTTTGTATTGGTAAAATATTTCAGTAATGTGTTTACTGTGAATTTAACAGCTTAGGCGAACAAAGTGAAATGTTATTTTTCAATGAAAGGGTACTTATTCAGTAAATAGTGGTAATAGTGTTCGATAAACAAATATTGTGTTGGTAATTTGATTACCATAATCTTAACTTGAACCTTCTCGAATATTAATTGTTTTTTTATTTCGAAGTACATAACATCTCTCAAGAATTAGCGATTTCACAGTCTTATCACTTTGGATCATATTTGAATAATGATAAGAAATGTAATTTGGAGTTATTTTACTGTTTACTTTCTTGTATGAGATTGATAAAGGTTTTTATGTTGAACAGGTTACTTGAGATTTTTCAGAGAACTGTTGCAATGCTCATCGTAACATATAGTTTGCTAGTTGCTTCATGGATAAACAGTTTGACAATAACAAATCTGATGTTGTTTTTTAGTTCCCTCTACAGTTTATATTTATAAGAACAGATAAATTTGGTACTGCCTAATCGAATTTTTCACTTAAAATGAAAGTTATCAGTATTGTGTGTCAGATATATGCAAAAGTGAATGATATCTTAAGAAATTCAGTATACTTAGAACCAATAGAAATTCCCCGTTTGGTTATGACAAATGGTAATGCAATAAACGAGCTATACACTAACCCCGTTTTCTGATTAATTTTAAGTGTTTCCTGTTAAGTAATTTGTGGTTGTGATAAATAGACATTTCTGGAAATGTATTTTAAAATGACTTATAGCATTAAAACGAAGCGATAAATTATCTGATACATACTTGATAGTTGACACAAGTAACTTCATGGTGCGACAATTTTATGGTGACTAGTTGTAAAAGTAGGCAATTATTATTTGCCTAAAATTTCAGTTTAAAGTTTTCTTCTTGTCCCTTTTCCTATTAAAATTTTTAGTGGGTTCCAGCAACTGATCAATATGGAAAAACGTATTATTATGAATTAAACACTCGTCATTCCGTATGGGCACTTGAAGATTTAGAAACATCAGTTACAGACGCGCCACATTCGTCCGACTCATTGAATAATTACTTGGATATTAATGAACCGAATTCTTCTAAGGAAGCTCTCGACTGTTCAGTATTTGAAGATGAAAACAATAGTTCTTATGTTGATCAATATCCATCTGTATCTAGAATGTCAAGTATCAGTAAAGTTAATCGGAGAACAATGAGTCAATCTAAAGTGGTATGAGTTGGTTTTTAGTTCAATTCTCGTATAAATTAAGTTACGCTTTTTATTCGTGCATTAGTACCTTCTGTAAAAATGATTCAACATATGTTGCTACTTTTTCAGTTAATTGCAATGAGTTACTTGATGTTCCTACTTCACTATTCTCTTGCAACTGAAATATAATTGCTTGAATGACAATTATCTTTTTCTAAGATTATTCCACTCATTTTATGCACCCAGTGAATTTTTAAAAATATTTTAAGTGCTATTAGTATTTTTAGTTACTTTGCTCCTGTCATAGGAATCGAGTATTGTACTTTTATGGTTATTATGCTTTCACTAGACATTTATGTTTTCCTACTTTGTATAATCATATCGTAGACAATTATCGATTAGCCCAACGAAAAATCTTCAAAAACCTCAAGTGATCAGTCATTTCCATGTTTCCATAAAGGTCTGTGAATTTTACTCGTAGTAAAGCTACGACTATTTGATTAAAGTATTCAGGTAATAGTGTAAAGGCATCAATAATTTCAGTAGGAAATGTTCATCACTTCTTATTTTCATTTATTGCCCTCATAAACTTAATGCATTCTACCCTAATTGCCCAGAATGAACTCTGCAAAAACCAAGGATTCAACCAGGAAGTGCACATTGCTTTAGAGTTCATGCCACTTACGAAATTATCTTTTATTATTTATAAAAATAAAAGTGAATAAATTGTTTATTACAAATTAATCGTTATTTTTTAAAAATTATATCAATATCAGGGTTTATGTTGTTATAGTGTTTAGTTAACTGTGGAGATTTTAAACATTTGATTAGTGGCAGCGAAATTCTTTACCTCGTCAGCCTTATCAAGTATTCTGTATACTCAGAGGCAGATACAAGTTGTTGAAAATGTAAAAACATGACTTTGAACCTATACTTGTATCACGTTCGAAATACTGAAATTGAAACTAATAACTGTATATGCAAATATTTTTGTTTTTTTTCCAGTCTCATCGAAATTCACATATACCTTCTGAAGTTTGTTCAGCGCAAGTTATCAATCGACCTTTCAGTTTAGTCAGTCTTGATGATCAAGATCAAGGAGGTGGACGTTTTCAGATAAAGAATCTAAGCAAAGAACATATCAGTGGACCAAGTGAAAATAAACTTACGGTATACAAACATTTTTCTAGCTATATGTTTATTTTCATATTGATTCTTTAAAATCATGCTAATTACTTATTTTTAAACTGTACTGAAATTGTGATACATGTAGCTAGTGATCAGGATGTAATCTTCATTTATACTTTATTTTTTATTTCTTAATGATTACTACAGTTTGTTTACAAATATACTTTACATATTTCTGCATATTAGATCAAACTGGCTGCAACAATAGCTAATAATTAGTCAGAAATGGTGGATATATGCAAATGAAATGGTGTTGAGAAATACACGTTTTTTGTAGGTTTCTAAGCATTGTACTGTCGATGGTTGTAATATCTGATCGAATTAAAATAATCACTTTTATCAAATGTCAAATTCTTTTGGTCCCTACCTGTAAGCTAAAGGACTGAAACTTTTGAAGATAATCTGAAACTCAGACAAAATTATCTTATTCCCTTGTTTAGTGTTTATTAGAATTAAGTAATTGGTTGTAGAAAAGCACATCCTTTTCGACAATTTAAACCTACGCCCTAAACGTTATAATACATTTAGTTATTTGACAAAGTAAAAATACTAACCTTTTACATCGATTCCTCAAAGCGTGCGTGGGTAATATAACGTTACGAAATGTGTGGTACCTGAGAAGAAATTTTAAATAGTCATAATCGTAAGCATGTAGGAGTAGAGAATTACAGAAAGCAAAGTCATTTGTTACTGTCTGATAATTAACTCTGTTAAATATATTTTAGTGATAATTGGCTTTGAATATGGTATAATTAGAAGTTTAAAAATAAGAGTACTAAAGTTATCTTTATGTTGAATCGTTTACTAGATATTTTTCAACATTTCATGGTTTAGATAAGCTAATAATTATTTCAGCTTCACTCTTTCAAGTTCAACTCTTTCATCACTGATTCGGATTTTACTCTGATTATTTCAGTTTGGATTGTTGGTAGTATCACTGCTCTTCATATAAACTGTAACTCAATGTCGGGTACATAAAACTATCCTTAGGTCCTTTAATGCTCTGGTACGGCTGGAGGTGGGGAGAGCCCTCTCTTGAAATGCTCTCATATGGTCACACGTATATAGCTAGTGCCAGGGAAGTTCTGATCATTGTCTCCTGGAGGCGGAGTTTTTGTTTACGAAATTAAGAGGATAAAAAGCGAATGTCCGGCTCTTTAACCGGGTTGGTGCGTGAAATTCTGCCCCAAGTCTATTGAAACCACGCCACAAAGTACACAATAGAGCCTTCAACGTACTCACCCTATGTCAAATCGGCCAGCAGGCCTCCTTGGCTAAAACCCTAGAATCTCGTACCATTGGTGTATGCTGTGTCTCCAAAACACACATACAGGATCCTAGTGTAGTTATTCAATTGACTTCCCCCAGCCAAAACAGGGAGCCGACGACATACACCCTCCGTGTATCTGGTGACCTGATGGCTAGTCCTTGTGAACTAGCAGGTGTAGGCATAGCACTGAGTACGAGGGCAGAACAAGCACTATTAAAATGGATCCCTTTTAACAGTCTCCTATGTGCTGCTCGGTTAAACAGATCCGTAAGAACTCGGAAGGATAGGAACACACGTCGTTGCCTTTTCGTCATTTTTGCCTACACTCCCACTGACTGCAGCCTGGATGAAGTGGAAGGTGATTTTTACAGAACGCTTTGTGAACTTCTTCATAAATCTAAACGCTCATAGTACTCGTAGCAGGTGACTTTAATGCCCAGGTAGGCAGGTTAGACCAAACAGAAAGACGTTGAAGTGGGTATTTTAGCATGCCCGGCTCATCAAACAGATAATGGTGATCGTCTTCTGCAAGTGTGCTCAGACAATTATTTATTTTTAGCAAGTATTAATTTTAAGCATAAGGAGAGACATCGTCTAACATGGCGACCGCCTGCAACAAACCAACGATGGACTCAAATAGACCATATTGCCATCAGTAATCGTTGGAGAGGCTCGGTAGAAGAATGTCGCTCGTTCTTGAATACCTGTTTGGACTTCGATCATGCTCTAATACAAGCACGCATTTGCTTGCACCTCTCTGGACGCAGAAAAACCACATTAAGAAAACCCACAAAATCGAACTGAGTGACGAGAAAGCTGAACGTAGATTCCAGGTTGACTAATATTTTAGCTAAAATCTGGGAGTTAGACGTTATCCCATCTAACTGGTCACAATCACTGATCGTTCTAAATATATATGAAAGGGTCAAAATCATCCTGTAATAACCATAGTGGGATTAGTTTGACTAATATAGCATCGAAAATACTAGCCTCGATAATTATCGGACGCCTAACTAAAACTCATGAACTGCAAACACGAGAAAATCAGACTGGCCTCAGACCTGGTCGTGGCTGCATCGACCACATATTCACCATTCGTCAGGTTCTAAAACACAGGCATACTTATCGGCGTCCGACAATTGTGGGCTTCCTTGACTTGAAAGCAGCATATGACTCTGTAGACCGAGAGGTTCTGTGGCAGTGTTTATCATTGAAAGGCGTACATCAGAAATACATAAACTTTGTGAGGGCTCTTTACTCGAACACTACCAGTAGAGTCAGAGCTTATGGCGAACTGTCATCTGCTTTCGCAACCTCAAGTGATGTTCGCCAATGCTGTCCACTATCTCCATTTTTGTTCAACTTCATCATAGACATACTGCTGGAATTAACGTTCTCGTCAACTGGATTTTCGGGCATTGATCTATTGGAGATCCACTTATCGACTTAGAATACGCAGATGATATGATCCTGTTTGGTGAAGACGCTAATAATATACAGTCTTTTGGTAGCACTGAGCAACAATACCAGTATGTTTGGGATGCGTTTTTCCCCCTCTAAATGCAAGTGATTGCTTCAGGACTGTCCTGAGTATACTCGTACGTTAATTGATAGTCGGATATCTTGCCTATGCCATAGGGTTGATCAGACTTCTAAAATAAGTGAAGTTTTCGACGCGTTCGACTACTTCACTTCTTATCCTTAGTTCAGGTGTTGGCGTAGTCCAGGAAAATAAAAAAATCTTTTAGTGTTGGCTACTAATGTATATCATTATTTAGAGTTTTACAAATTTTGTCAATCTCACTTTTTTTCTGCAAGTACACAAAACCTTTAGTTTGCCAATGAATGATTAATGTTACACATTTATTTGGTTTTGTTAAATCATATTCAACAATTTGATAAAGAGAAAAACACAACTGATTTTTGTTGTAAATTTTAGCACTTTGAACGACGTGGTGCAGTTATTCGTACAATGTTAATTGAAAATGACAAACGTATATCAAAAAAATGGATACCAGGTGTATTACATCTTAGTGGTCCATTACTTTTTTTATATAAAGATAATAAGCCTTCTTTACCTGTAAGTCAATTTTCAAATGGTGCTTAAATTATATACAAGTTAATTTTTTCCATAAAAATCTGTCAATTTTCATTCTTCAAGTTTATTTAATTGATTTTGGAATTTTATATCAATATCATGTAGTAGCTTATTATATTTCCTTGCATAGGAAATTGAAACTGATAATAAAGTCATTTTTTGCGAACTAAATAATCATAGTAGTCTTCCTTTATAGATATTTTCGATGTAGTACCATTAACCATTTGTGAGCTGAATGAATATTTGATAAACGTACATTCATGTTTGAACACACTAAATAGTTCATTTTCAAATAATCAGTGTTAGTGGATAAGTTGAGATGACTGTTGAATTTTCATGTGTAAACTTTTTATATACATTACCATTCTCTTTCCTTATTAACTTAACTTACTGTTTGCTTTGGAATATATTTGTGTTTCTATCCAAGTTATGATTTAATATAGGAACCAGTCGGGTGAAGTATCCAAGACTACTAGGCTGAAGAAAACTTAATGCTCTTAGTTAATTTTTGTACAATCGAAGTTCCAACACAATAAATTACATTAAATGAATTGACAATGTTGTAGAAAAATATCTGATATAATAATGGTCCCAATAATCATGAGGACTTTATCCAGGAAGTCTACATTGACTTATATGAGTCAGGCCAACAACCAATGAAATAATGAGGTATTGTCGTTTCTTGACATGGTCACTGCTCCTTCTTTCGTACCCAGAGTCAGTATCACATCTCAACATATGTTTACCGCCAACTAGCATTCTCCAACCCACTCTGTTCTGGGCCTTCCTTTCTAGTTCCATCCAATTGTTGTTCATTCTTCTCATGTCTGTCTCCATTTCTCGACGTAATGTGTTCTTTGATCTTCCTCTCCTCCTTTGGCCCTGAGTATTCCAAGTGAGGGCTTGTCTTGTGGCGTAGTTCAGTGCTTTCCTCAATGTGTTTCCTATCCATTTCCAGCGCTTCTTCCTGATTTCTTCCTCCACTGGGATCTGGTTTGTTCTCTCCCACAGTAGGTTGTTGCTGAATATATATATATATATATATATATATATATATATATATATAAAGTATTACATTTACAGTACTAGAAACTATAGAATAAAATACAGATTTATCAACTAAACATAATTATTGAAGTATCACTACATAACTGAAAATATTCTCCACACAAACAACCGTAGATCACGTGTACAAAGACGTACATAGGGGACCATTGTTCAGTGCATTCATCCTTTGGTAGAGGACAAAATGTCATGTCAGCGTTGGATTTAGTTTACGTTCAACTAAATAATCCCTGCATCACTTCAGCAGTAACGTCAGAAACCAACTCAACAGGTTTGATGCAGTTTTTAAATAAATAAAGTGATGTATGAACACAAACATTCCTCAGTTTATCTTGAAACTAGGTTATTGGGGGTGATGACTGGTAACTGTGCCTTCTTAATTATACTGGCTTAAGAAAACTGATCGTAGTTAGAATGTAATAAATTTTCATACACTCTAAACCCCAACTTCTGACTCAATTTTAGAAGCCAAGTTTGTAACGTAACAGTCACTGCATACTGTAGGTATCCTGTTTCAATGTCTACAACATTAATTTATTCTGTTATTGAGAAATTATGACGTAATAAACAATCACTCGTCTGTATTTTATTCGTAATTCAATCAGCTCATCTAAATTTTTACCGATCGTGATTTATTTTGTAGTAGATATACAAAAAATAATTTAATATCACCTCTTATTTATCATGTTTTAAGATATTTACATATGCTAATGATAAAACCCCTATATAAAATTTGTTTTCTCATTTCTTCCAAATGAAAATCCAAGAGTTTAAAATCTATAGATCGGTATCAACTTCATGAATGATAAATGGTCTTCGAATATCATTTTTAACGTTTTTTTCTTTATATCAGTCAGTCAGTAACAACGTGGAACTTCGTACGTACGTACATCAGTTCGAGTTGCCATACCACATTAGCACAGAGACTCAGTTATCGATTCAAATCCCATAGTGGTAGAGGTACTGAAAGTATAAGTAGAGATAGGGGACATTAAGGTTTGATGATGTTATTAAAGGAGTATAGTCCAGTGGAATAAATTGGGAAAGAAAATAAAGGACATGAAGAATTCAGAAGATTAGAGTTTGAGAGAACACAAAGAGTGGATGCACCTGCGCCATTGCAAACGATTTTGAACCATGTCATTCAAGGTCTCTAACCATCGGTTGCTATCGTCTCGCGGTCCCCAACCAGGTAGTCTACACCTACCAATAATAAAAGTAATAAAAGTATTATTTCTTGTTTATATTGGATTTATTTAACTAAAACATTTATGATTAAATGACAATATTGAGGCAATCTGCACAGGATGTATATATGCCCAAAGAGATTGATCAATTACAGTCTATAACATTATACAAGTGGTAGGCACAAACACTTATAAATTAAATTCATACTCATTGTACAAGATATTGTTTTTATCTGGACTCAATGATTAATAGACTTTGATTAAAACATATATTACATTAGGTTTACATTTTGCTGTTGAACACGAAAAAAACAATAATTTTCTATCATATTTACTTAATACTTAATCATCAAAATTGACTAAAAAATTAGGGAGACAATCAACTTTTTTAATGGTTCTTATAATGTTTATTTATTTGTTTAAAAAAATATTGATTAGAAATTACATCAACCACTTGGTAAACCTGATGTCCAATTCAACATTAGAGAGGTAAAAGTTAGCGAAGCAAACGGTGAACAAACATCAAGAAAGAATGTGCTCAAAGTTAGTAAAAAAAACAATGATATGATTTTGTTTTTATACTTTGGTCTCGTTAATCATGAAACAATTTTCTTTATATATATATATATATATATATATATATATATATATATATATATATATTCAGTGGCTGATTGATTCGTCGTAACGTTCTATTTCAATAAAAAAACTGATTTGATATAGTATGGGGTTGCTTAGGGAATGTAACTTTCAAGGATTATTCTATTTGAAAGTGTGAAAAACTGAAAAAATAAGATAGGATGCATTCACTTTGATTTTATTCTAAAGTAAAATATATGCCTTTCTCAAACAATTAAAATGTTTTACCGAAATGACTTTGTTGTGAAACTGAATAGGGTATAGACAGATCTGCTGTATGACATGAGAATCAGACCATGATTTTTGATTTGTTTATCTCTGCTTTATGTTTTATACATACTTCTCAATCGAATGTAGAAGATTAATCTCTGACTCTTTTCAGATCATAAGTATTTTAAAGAAATCAATTAAATTGTGATTGCGAAACAAATAAATGACTTCTTAACGTATTCTTTTTTATTCTATTCTATTCTCTCCAACTTGCCTTTCATAGTACATTTTAATGACTGTCAGGGTTATCCTCTTTATCTGGAGCCATGATTGAATAGTTTTTATGAATTAAACTTTTAGTCATTAGCTTCCGAGTTTAATAAACACTTTATTCAATTCAGTTTACCATGTGGCGTCAAAAGTGCTCAAGTAACAAATGTTTCTAGAAGTCACTTGTGAATATTTTTGTTTTACTACTCACCTATATTAACCTTTTACTGTCCTTAATATCCACTGAATCAGTTTGAATATCATCTCTTGTTCGTCACCTTCCTTGAAGTATACTGAAGTGACTCTTAGGTTATCATTTAGTTTGAATAAACATTTTAAAATTATTTAGATTGGTAGTTTGTGTAGATTCGTACAATTTTTTCAGCAGTAATGGACATCAGTTTGGTATTTGCTCGTTACTTATCAGGAGTGATCAATAACTATTTTTATGCAAAATGTAACTCATGACATTTGGGTATGGTGTTTGCACTTATTTTGACAGACATAAGTAGTATGTGACACCAATCGGAAGTTGAATGCCTGTCAAAAGAACATTGAGGAGATTTGTTATATTTTCGCTCTTACGGTTATAACCCAGCTATTCCTATCGCTTAGTATTCACGGTCACAGATTCACTCGACAAGGCCCCAAATCAGAACACGATTGAGCAGGAAGATTATATTCCAAATAACAAGGTTAGGTGAAGCAAGAAGCAAGAAGCAAGAAGCAAAATAGGAAAACCGTTAGTATATTTATAGCTTTTTACATAAGAAGAATCTAGAAGCTTCTCCATGTATAGACTAGCGCTGATTGGATAAAAATCAGCCAATCAGCGTGCGCCAAAGCAATCGTGCATTGAGCATGCTTAAATCCAATCTATGTCCCACTAACACCTCCCCTTTGAGCAGATTCGTAGGATCTGGTGCTAGGGTCCAACTGCAACCGAGTGACTGGCCTGTGCTTTCGATTTGTCCATCGTCTAGGCAATAAAGAAGTATCACTCTTTGCTTGCACAGAAACTGACCCGTCTGTTCCAGGCGTTTTGATTTCAAAGGTGTCTAGCAGAACATCAAGAGGTAATCGATATTGAATCTCGTTGCTGGCTATCGAAGTTGCTTTCAATTGGTTAGCATGACGTACCCAAACTTCTGAGCCAACTGACACCTCATAAACCACACTCCCCTTCTTTTTCAAGATCCGACCAGCTGTCCATGTAGGATGTTTCTCACGATAGTCCATAGCAAGTACTTTTTGTCCCACCGTGAACAATCGTTTTTGTGCCCCATGATGTCGATTGAACTGATTCTCCATAGATAGGTTTCGTTGAGGCTCAAGAGCTGGCGTAGGACGGATGACATCGAAATGTGTTCGTATTTTTCTGCCAAGTAGAGCTTCTGCTGGAGAGACCCCCTTAATCGTCTGAGGGTTCGGTGTCGAGCGATAAATAAGCAGGAACCTCTCTAAGATCTCTTCGGTGGTCCCCTCCCCTTTAGATTTTTTTAGAGCATTTTTAAATGTACTCACAAAGCGTTCCACTTGACCATTTGATTGGGGATGGAATGGAGGTGTTCGGACGTGATGGATTCCGTTCTGCCGACAAAATTGTGAGAAAATTACGGACGTAAACTGTGTTCCGTTGTCACTAACTATCAATTCCGGGACTCCGAAACGACTGAATAGTTGACGTAGCTTACTGACTGTGCAGCTTGCAGTCGGGTGTTCCATGAGAAAGATTTCTGGCCACTTGCTATATGCATCAACTACCAAAAGGTAAGTTTGTCCATGAAGTGGACCAGCAAAGTCCAAGTGTATACGCTGCCACGGTGACTGTGGTATTGGCCATGATTGCAGCTCTGCTTTCCGCGGTGCTTTCGTTGCTAATGCACATTTGGTACATGAACGGGATAGCTGCTCCAGTTGAGTGTCTAAATGCGGCCAGTATACATAACTTCGTGCTAATGCTTTCATGCGATTTATTCCAGGATGTCCTGCGTGCAACTGTTCAAGCACTGCTGGTTGTAGCTTCTTTGGGATTATGACACGTTCTGCAAACAGCAGGCAGTCGTCGATGATTGAGAGAGAGAGTCTACGCTGGTAAAACTGTTGAAGCTCTGTGGAACTGATCTTCGTGGGCCATCCTTCCAGGTGGAACTTTCTAACTTCTTGTAGAATCGGGTCTCGAAGAGTTTCTTCTCTGACTTCATCTGACGACACTGGAGTGTTTCGAATGGCATCTGCCACTATACTTCGTATTTCTGGGTCTACTGCTATGGAGGCAAACTTTCTTTTCAGTTTTTCTAGTAACCTTTCACCTGTCTTCTTTGCAAGTACTGGGGTGTCTAATGATGAACACAATACGTTGCAGACACTGTTAATCGGTACATCCATTATTCCAAGTTTATCTAACATATCTAGACCAAGAAGATCAAGGTTTGGCCGTTCTGTTAGGTAACATATTCCTGTACAGTTAGTTCCATTGAAGGAAAATTCACACTGTAATTCACCAACCAGTTTTAGCACACCACCTGATGCGTTTTTGGCCGTTTTCTTAGATGGCTTCATTGGCGGTTTACCCAGCAAGTTATACGTTTCTCTAGATACTAAGGTGATATCTGATGCCGTGTCAATTTGAAGACGAGCTGATATGCCGTTTATCTGGATGGTAACATACTTTCTCCGAATGTCATAGTTTGTTTGAAAGGCAGCTACCAGAGAAAGAGATTTAAACTCGGCTGATTTCACATGTCGAGAACGTTTATGCTTCTTTTTGGGATGAGACGTACGATTCGGTGGACAATGACCTTCTTTATGTCCACGTTTGCTGCACACCTGACATATATGCTTTTTAAATGGACAGAATCGTACATAATGCCAATCACCACATAACCAGCATGCAGTCGTTGGTTTATTACGAGTTGTTATCGGCTTCTTAACTTTTAACCTAGTAATAGCATTGACACTACTGCAGGTTAAATTAGGATTTACCTGTTCAATCAACTTGTTGTCGTGTCTGATGCTTTGTAGCCGCTTACACTCATCTGTTAACGTTCTGAGTGTGACGTTTGGGTCTTGATCTAGTCGAGCCAAAAGTCTAGTCCTGATCTCAGCATCTTGTGGTGACTGAAGAGCTTTGATGAATATTAGGCATTTAAATTGGTCTTCTGTCAACGAGCGTAACTTGAACCGTTCACATTCTCTGTTGACGATGTCTGCTAAAACACCATATTCATCGGCTTCGCGTTTCACCAAATTTAGACACTGATGTCGAATACTAAACAATGAGGAGGATTCACCGAATATCTCTGACAATTGAATTATCGTCTCCTCGAAACTGAGCTCTCGAGGTAACTTAGGCAATATATGGTCAGCATAGCGTGCATGTTCATTAATTCCTAACTTACGTACCAACAGTCGAGTCTTCCACGCGTCGTCTTGGTTACAGAATTCTATTCTAAATGTATCTTCCCAACGTTTGAACCACGTGAGAAAAGTATTTCCGCTTTCGGGATCATAGATGAATTCTGGTATGCTGCTAGCAACTGCATCACAAGACGTACTTGAAATGGCATGTGAACTCGAGCAGTGGAAGCTAAGCTGTTGAGTCAGAGTCTCTAACAACCGCATTTGTGCATCTAATTGTTGTTGCTGTTGTTGTAGTATTCGGTTAAGCTGGTCGTCTGATATGGACATATCGAATTTATTTTCCTTTTTCCTCGTCGCCACTGTTATATTTTCGCTCTTACGGTTATAACCCAGCTATTCCTATCGCTTAGTATTCACGGTCACAGATTCACTCGACAAGGCCCCAAATCAGAACACGATTGAGCAGGAAGATTATATTCCAAATAACAAGGTTAGGTGAAGCAAGAAGCAAGAAGCAAGAAGCAAAATAGGAAAACCGTTAGTATATTTATAGCTTTTTACATAAGAAGAATCTAGAAGCTTCTCCATGTATAGACTAGCGCTGATTGGATAAAAATCAGCCAATCAGCGTGCGCCAAAGCAATCGTGCATTGAGCATGCTTAAATCCAATCTATGTCCCACTAACAAGATTAAACTGAAGAAAACTGAAAGGGAAACATAAAGGGATTGAGAAATAGAAGAATCATGAAGGATGTAATAGACAATTGATGAAAGATTTGTAGATGAAGTATTTAATTTATGGTTTAAACATTTTACGAAAGAGCTCTGTAATTTTGCATTAAACAATAAATTAGTTGTCCCCAACTGAGTTCTCGTTCATTGTACTAGTACGACGTCATTCGGTCATTGGGTCAAAATTTATTGGTCATCATATTCAATCCAATTAATTATTCGAACTTTCGTTGTAGTCTACTAACTGATTTTGTTCACATAAATGCTACTTATATTATAAACTTGTATCAGTCGGACTACTGATAAAAGGAATAAAATCTTTTAATTGTATAGATCTCTTTTATTTACTTAAACTTCCCCATATGTAGATCTAAATCAGAACTTGAGCAAAGACTATGTTGCGAAACAATAACTTTATACTGATCTTTTTGAATAGTGGATAGTTGTAATAAAATTTGCCCGTGTTCACTTAATTACATAAACTTGTATAATCGTTCACTTATTCTGACATGCATTATTTAGACTTATGTTAAATGTGAATTAATACTCATCTTTACTGAATTTAATTTAGTTTCCATTCTTACTTTTTGATAACCTCAGATTGAATGTGAAACTGCTGGAAAGTTGAATGTTTATTTAGTACAAATCCCAGCCATCGATTATGAATCGTGGAAAGCTGCAATACGATATGCAAAGGATATTTTGGTAGGATGACTTTTTATGTAACAGTTTCATATTTACTTATCTATATTTTAATGAAAATAATTAAATTTACTGACATTTACATTTTTAGAATGTTAAACAGGGGTTTAATCTCCATCGTTAGTAGTAAGGCTTTAAATCACCCAGTTGTTGATATTCTTCACTGAGTTTTTGTCAGGATGAATATTCTTCAACAAGGATTGGTCAAAATTCAGCTAAGAATGTTAACAGGGTGAAGATGAAAAAGCTGACAAATTAAATTAATACTCGTTAAACAAGGTAGCGGCTACGTGAACTCAGTCCGTCAGTAAATAACCTGTTACGCCTTTCGAAACCAAAAGTACTGGATTCGAATCCAGTGTAATCATCAATACGAAACATGCGTCTTAGATTTCACTGCTAGTTACAATCCATTTGTTGTTATAAGAACAAAGTGGTTTCATTGTTTTCCCACCTAATTCATATCGTTTTCACTTGACTTTCATTAGGCTATAAAATTTTGGTTGGTAATTAGGAAGCACTATTTTATACTTGGTGATGTTTTTCAACAGATTTTCAATGGGCTTTTTTATCATTAAACTTCTGCTTAACATACTGATAATCATATTATGATGTTTCCCACTGTTCTACAATAATTTTCGGGGATTTGGATAATTGAATTCACAGCATCGTTTGATGCTTATTCTATAACATCTGTCATTTTTATGTGGATCTTGTACAAATAGATTCATGTAAGATGAAAATAAACTGAATGTGTTAGCAGAATCAAATCCTAACAATTTTATGCATCAAGATTATCCTGATTGGTCTCTTTTTTAACCAATTAGTACTGGTATGGCAATGTAGAATACCCTAGAGGTCCTAATATTACTAATAATTCTGTATAAACTTAAGTGTTTTTAGTATTGTGTCTTTGTTGTTTCTACTTACTGGAACTTACTCCGTTTCCACTTATTCGTATTCTGATTCGCATCGGGTCTACGGAAGTGTAGTGGTCAAGCGATATTTGACAAAGAGAAACTTAATACAATATCCTTAAAGTTTATTTACACTTTGCACAAAGTTCGTTTTTGTTGCAGTCACTTTTATGTTTTATATTCAGGACTGAATCCTAATCAGTTTTCTTTGCTAAATGTGGATCGTGTGTAACTTGCTTTAATTTAACCATTTTATCATTTATTCTATGCATTGATCTGTTGATTAGAGCTTTGTTCAATGTTTTAATGTTGTTTTTACATCTGTTTCGCTATGTCGTAATGCTACAATCATTAATCTTACCGTTGAATGAATTTTGGAATCAAGCATTTAATGTTGATCACGGTATTTTTTCTGTGAACGTTTACTTAATGTTTGCTGTTGGTAAACATTAGAAACAATAAATTAGTTGGTGTTCACACTGCGTTGTAGCCAGATAATCATACACAATCACTACTTCAATGTTCATGAACTACCCTTTATGTTTTTGTAGTGGTTGAAACATACTAAAATCATCTTTGAAATATGTATTATGTAAAGGCCATTATTTATTTAAGCACTTAGAAGTACATCTTAATTATCAGGTATCGGATTAAATAAAGAAAAATACTTGTGTGTATCAATATATATATATATATATATATATATATATATATATATATATATATATATATATATATATATATATATATAATTAGTTATTTAGTGAAAATTGATTTACTTGCCATAAACTTAATAACAAGAAATACAATTATTGTGATATTATTTATTCTGAATCAGTATAATATACATGTTTACAATTATTCCTAGAAATTCTAAGCAACTGAAAAAAACACCCTATATTACTTTTATTTAATCCTTGTCTTCTTGAAAGAAAAAAAAATATATACAAAAGTCGATTCACTTATATGCTTCAATAGTCTAATTGTTCATATATCTAAATTATTACTCTTATTATTAGTATACCTTTCATAAGACTGTAGAACTTGGAAATTACTGGTAAACGAATAAAATTACTCTTTGATTTCTATAGTAACAATAATCTAGGATTTTAAGCTTCATTATTTAATTTTGTTCATTTTTTTTTAATATCTCATAGATTACGAGAATTTAGTAATTCATTCATAAGTCAGCTTTCTAAATGGATTGATTTTAATGGAAGTAAGATGAAAGCTTGTAAAATATTTTATCTATAATAGAATGAACAGAATGGCCATTTTTAAGAAAAGGTACAGCAATGGATATAAAGAAATAAACTAGAAAAATGATTTATTATCTTTTTTAAGCAAGAATGAAATTAATTTATTAACCTACCTACTAACTGTTTGTTTTATCTTTAATGCTACATTATTTAGAATGAAGATCATGGAGTCACGTTAGGACGTTCATTAACCAGATGTAAGTAATATGCGTATATAAATTATTTCTTTTGCTTATTGATTTCTACATTTTGTTTTTCAGTAATCCCCTATGAATCCATGCTAATTTTTTTCCGAATATCTATTTAATGAAAAGCTTAAATGGATAAGCACTATGATGTATGGTGTCAGAGACCCACTGACCGATTTTAGTCTTTAAAAGTGCTTTGGATATATCTTTTCCTCTTAAATTCAAACTATTGCTTCGGAATCGATATCACTTAATACTTGGTGTTATCAATAATAATAAGTGGAGTAGTTAGCACTATCTACCGCTTAAATTATCTTGGAAGTCTAATTAGCCGTGCTTCATCTGTGAATGCTGATATCTTGACACAAACACATAAAACCTTTCATCTTTGATAAACTATACCACTTTTGATTTAAGCGAAGTTTTCATCTACCAAGCAAAAGGCGAGCATATCAGTCAGGAATCAGTTTTATATTAGTCTATGAGTGCAAAATGTGACCGTACGATGTGAATCGTAAGTATTTTGTGATTAGCATCTTAAAAGTATTAATTTAATATATCATGACAACTTAACTTATACTATAGTTACCTGTCCAAATGTGAGGGGTGATAACTAATTATACACCTTCAAAGACTTATGCAGTTAAAATATGTATTATATATATCTAATCACTGTCTGTAAATGTTATAGAGTGTGATTTGGATATGAAATAGTTGGATGACCAGGACAAGAAATATTACTAATCCGTTAGGCCAATGGGTAGAAACTAGGCGATATATTATATAAAAATCCACGATATCATAGAGGCACGTATATAATCTCTCCCCTTAAATATCCAGTTTTGTATCATCTCTATTTATTATCTTTTTTTTAACAATTTTGTGCTTCACGTTTTATTTATCTTCTATATTGGTACCATTATTTTTACTTCTTTATTGGACGTCTAGTTGATTCCTTCAAGTTTTCCTTTTTGTTATAAAACATAAAATTGGACGGATACTCGTTTGTCCCAAGTCTACACGTCGTTCACATTTGTCCGATGAGAAATGTTTAAGTGTCTGGTTTCATCAGTCTATTTTTGACAGCAGTTTTAGAGTTACTTAGTTACCTAGAGGAAAAAAATAATATTTAAGAATGGAAGGTTGTCGTTATCCAACAGTTTCCACTTATCCTTATTCTTGCTCAGTTCAGTTACAAATATAGTTTCATTTATATATTAAATGTCACCGGATAACTTAGACTATCCATATAATATTATCATTTATGGAGAATTCAGTTGGTAAAGTAAAACCTAATTATCTTGTTATTGAAATTTTCACAATAATTTTGAATTGTTCTTAGTATAATTTATTTAATAGTAGTTAGATTATACTAAGTGAATGATTCTATCTTATAAATCAAGCATCCATTGATGTGTTTTGTCATAGCCTCTCTTTGTATAATGGTACTAATATTGACATAGTAAATGCACAAATATTTTAAAAATTTACCAAATGACTTACTAATAGGTATCCAATTGTTATATATATATATATATATATATATATATATATATATATATATATATATATAATACTAACTTATTGGCTGAATACACATGATATACTGTACTTTAAGTGCATATGCTATATTCAATACTCTCATTCACTTGGAATACACTTCTCTTGGTAAATGTTATTGAGTAATACTTAAATTGTAAGACTCTAATGGATAGACTTAAAGCAAAAACTAAAGGATTTTTATATCACTTTGAAAAATTAAGTAGGTTGATTTTGATTTATTCTTATTTTTACAGATTAATAAAATATATATTTCTGTTCATTTTTAGCGCTATTTACTGCTTTCAAGTAATTTTCATCACTAAGTAATATTAACTAAAATAAGTATTGAAAATTACAAAACACTGGATAAAGATTTGATTCAGCTTTGGACATCTTATCAATAAATATCGATGAAGCTAATTTATATATTTGCATTGTAGTATGTATTTATCTATAGGAATTTACGAGCTTACTGCAATACAAATAATCAAATTACGCTAAACTCATGTAAAGTGATAATTTAATTCTGAAGGTTTTAAGACACTAATACAAATCCAATAAGCCAGCGAATTTACGTTATTCTACTGAATACTTTATTCCTGTTCTCTAACTTGGAAGAGTTATCTACCAAAACGTTTCACAAAAATAGTCATGACTGTATCCTAATCTAACCATAAAGTTGATAATGTTGTGAATCCCTATGAACTACAGTGGCTAGACCATTATTTGTCTACGTTTAACCACCACCTATATATATGAGCTATAGTGACTTGCGAATGTGGTTGGGAAAAGAGTAAGGCATCAGTCTGCGGGTTAATTGACCTATAAGTTTATGTTGTATCAAATTGTCCGAAATTCCTAGTCAGGATCTAACGAGATAATTTCTAGAATTTTCAGCTACATAGTTTATTCATTTTATAAATTCTGAGTTTAATGTTATTCCACACTCTTTATTGTCTGATTTTATCGGTTTATTTTGATATATTTTTTTCCTGTTTAGATTTATTTACCCATCAATGCTATTATTTTCATTGCTTTTCCTTTCTGCTTACCATACTATAATATTAAGTGTAGCAACTATACAGGTACATACTTGTTCAAGAACCTACTCTATTTATGTGTTTATCGACCTTCTGTTTTCGTTTATTGAGTTTATCAATTGATTAAATGATAAAAGTCATAGATTTATAATAAGTGACTTAACTTGTCTGTTCACCGTGAGTTGTGAGTAATAAATTGAACAGTTTCCTAGTGTGTTATGATGTAACTTAAAGTAAATCCGTCAGGATTCGAAAAATGAACAAGCAATATAGGTTCTGGAACTAATAAGAACTCTTAGTCAAATGTAGCCGAAACTACTTACTTATTATTACAATCGTTTAACCTGGCGTCTCTCATGTTATGTTTCGTGATGCTCTTTCAGAATCCCTAAACTTATGTTATTCTTATTCAAAAAGTTAGGTTACTTAACATTTTAATCAATCACCAATGCCGGCGTATCTGCACGCGAAATAAAATTCAAGGTGACCATTATGATTTATTTTTATGTAAAGGTTGACATCACTTCTAAGCCGAAGAAAAAAAAAAGAAAACATAACAATCACCGATTACATTGTGATTCGAACAAATAATGTTAATGTTTAAAAATGTTATGGATCAATTTTGGAAAGTACTTAATAAATTGCCATATATTTAAATCTTATATACGAGTTTATAAAATTCCAATAAATTAACTGTAAGACGACTGAACTGTGTAAGACAATGCATTGTGATTATTTTCTTTTAAAGTTTTTTTTGTCGTTTTTATCGTGTATGCTTGTCAACTTGTTAATGATTAATAAAGCCTGTCTTTGTAACTCTTAATTCGTTTTGTTTTCATATGTTAGAGTTTAGATGGTAAAGAATCGATTGAAACATTCAATTGTAGTAGTAATAAGAGCAACACACAGAAGCTGTGAATGTGACCTATATAATAATTATATTGTCTAGTAACAAGGACACTTTTCATCAATATGTTTACTCCTGCTTCTAGTATACTATGTCGAAAAATTTAAATAATCATCTTCTGAAGTGACTTTCTTCGTTCACTTTTTATGCTCCAAAGTAACTGTTTGCTAGTGTCATAATTTAACTGTCCTATTCGATTAAAGTTTTATATAAAACAGATGAACTGTAGTTAATAGTGGGATCTAGGATGCGCCCCATTTAAAACTTTTAATTCCTCTGTTTTTGATTTCGTCTTTAACCTGTATTAGTTATTTAGAGACTTTGCGATAGAAATAGCATTTGATAAACATCTGATTGTTTTTTTTCGGGGGGGGGATCTACTACTAAAATATCTAGTGTATTGGCATTAAGTTTTTTTGATGAGAAGAGGGTCCTTTGACACTTATACGTTTCTCTTAATAAGTGAGTTAGCTGGTATGTTTACCGAATTCACCTTCATGAACTGGATCGATTCTGAAACCTTATCAAGATTTCTCCAGTTCAACAGTAATTGAGTTCGAAATATTATATATTTCATGGTTGTATCTTTTTGAAAAAATAACCTTAACTGAATATATCTTATTGAATAAGGGATTTCTAAATAACATATCGATTCTTAAGAAATGGAAATCTGCAGATGACTTAGAGTCACAAAATAGTCAAGAGTAAGTTAATCAATGCATTAGAAAGATAACATACTAGAGTATTACCGGATGACCGTAGGGAATGCACGAATTTGGAAGCTTACACGATCCTCCATTCATAAATTACTAACATAGAATTAAATCCTGTTCAGAGAGAAGGTGTCACAGAAAGAAATCTTAGTTCATGCACTAAACTAATGGTTGCAGGCAGTGATACAATGTAATGTATAAAGAGTCTTCAGGTTCAAATTCTATCATATCAGTATGGTCAGAGTTTCCGGAAAAGATTTCAACTTTAACTTTGGAACCTCCATTTTTAGTTTTAAAAAATCTGACTCATGCTACAGTATATAATTGCTCACATCATTATAAATTATTTCATGGAACAAATATTCATTCTGTGGAGAAAAGAAGAAATAACGTTAAGAATTTATTCCTTGATAACCAATCAGACGATAACAAAACAGAATTTCAAATATAATATCAGCAATGAAGCTGAAGTCTATCACTTAAAACACCTAGTCATTTTCTCCTTACTAATTCTCATTGTTTTAACCTTTCTTTCCTTTTGTACATGAGTATTCTCTATTGCATTGTGTATATAACTAAAAATTGAATTGTCGGACTATCAGCTGTACATCTCATTGTCAAATTCGTTATATTTTCTGCTTAACTGTATTTTGTTTTTATTATTATTATTATTTACTTTAGATGATTCGGGACAACCTTCTGTGCTCGATAAAAAATTATTGGCAAAATTGCGTGATTTTTTTAGAACAAGACCAACTGCTGCATCCCTACGATCTCGCGGTATTTTAAAGAGTAAGTTGTTTGTATTCATAGTTTGTACATTTTGTATATCCGTACTTGAATTCCATATAAAATTGTAGATTTATCTAAGTACAAATCACTGTTATTTTGTTATAGCTTATAATATATTTAATTGTATGTACTGGGATAAAGTTGAGGATCCGTTTGGTTATCGGTTTAATTCAAGAAGTTTCTTAGCATAGTAGTGTACTTATCCTGGTCTTACGTGACAGTATTCAAAAAGAAAATAACTTCAAACATATCTTTTATGGTTACGGATAACTGCATAGTCTCATCACTGATGTAACAAGATTTTCTGATTCACCAATGGCGTTTACACAATCGTTTAACTTTATCAATGAGACTCGAGAAATTACATATATTTAATCCGTACTGTATCGCAGAATTTAAGCCTCGATGGTTGAATCATGGATTCGCACTGTTGAGGAGTTCCACGTTAGAACTAATTAACTGTTCGGTACTTCCACGTTTTCTGTAATTGTCTAACTTAAATCAGTTCCTGATCTCACATAACATCCAACCATCTCCACAAAACTCCTACACTAATAATAGAATATGTACAAATTTTTTTGTCATTGTATCTAACAAATTATTTAGTTTGACCAAATCAATAAACGTTTATTACGTACTTGTATATTTATGTTTGTAACCATGACTACAAACCCTTTTTTCTTTTTTTGTGGATAGATATCAATTTTTCTGTTAACTATTTATCTTTTATTGGTTTACATTTAACAACTCACTTGAGATTGGCAGTTCTGAAAAATTACTTAAACACTTTATAGTTATATTTTGTCAGTGCTACATAATCTATGTTATTCAATGTTACATATAAACACATCACACCGAGTACATCGTATCATAGAACAATAAATAGTGCTTTCAGAAAAATAAAGGGAATTCGTAGATTAGAAAAAGTAAAGAAAGGCAGTGACAATATGGTTTTTGTTGAAAATAACATTTATCAAGTTGAACTTGTTTATTATTTCACAGTAAATCAAGTTGAATTAATTAGAGATTTTAACAGTTGAATTCACAAGTCAATCTAACCTATAACACCATCCAGGTTTCCAATGGTGGTCTAGCTTAGATGGACTCGTGAATTCAACTATTAAAATACCACAATCTCCTTAAATCCTCATACTGATAATTAGGGAGTGTAAAATATTAGAAAAAAAATCTTATGTTATATTTTTTTAAAATGTGTAATATCATATCAATCGTTAATTATTGATGAATCAATTAGAAAGATATTACTGTATACCTATCGACAATATACATGCCTGTTTTATCGTTAAACCAAGGTGGATTGTATGAAAACTTTCTACATTGTTTACAATGATTCTTCAGTTTATATTGCTCTGTAATGTAAATTAATTCTAAACTGTTTTTTCTCTTTAATCAATTTATGAGAGTAAAAGTTTATTAAACTCATTCCGTTGTGTACGTTCGGATAAAATGAGTAGGATTACACTTATATGTACTTATCAACCTGTTTCGTTTAACGTTGCCACATAAAGATTAGCCTCCACTTCTTACTTTAGTGAAACATCTGAAAGCCACTGTGTTGTACCATCTATAGGACACCACCCAGGGCGTCATAATGAACATACATATGCCAATGTTATACAGCTTTCATGCAAAAGCACTACTTCATAAATTGACTAACTCTATACTTATCCCACCCAGCCTTAGTGTCAGCAAATAACAGACGAATTGGATACCACTGGGACCATATTCGTAGCACTTTTTCACACCACTTAAACCGGGGTTTCAAGTTGAAGGCATTAACTGAAACATTATCATTATGCCCGAACACACATTGTTGAATCTCCTTATTACAAACATGATATTACCACTGGATGTAAATAATCCATCAGAGGTACAGAAAATTGAGCACAAAGAGTTTTTGTACATCTTCAGCTATGAGAGTACAAGTTTCTCAGGTATAGACCAAAACTACTGTCACCGATGATTTGTAAATCTGACCCTGGATTGACGGTAGAATTCATCCTTGATTATATTGTAGTGGCTTTGCTTCGTTAAGCAATCACCTTTGTAACTGTTATTATATAAATCTACCGGTGTTTGAAATCAGAAGGCAATAAGTACTGGCAACTACAGTGTATTAGCGGATAGCACATGTCACAAAGCTATAAGCACATCAAGCGAATCTGAAGCTGAGAGGCGAATGTGTATGTGAGCCAATACAAAGGTAAATTTATGGTCAAATCTCATGAGGGCACAGCAAGGCAGAGTAAAAGCTAATAATAGGATCCGCGTACATATATACGTGGGGAAGTGAATGATTCAGCGAGTAACATTTTAGATATTAATATTTTAGCTAGTCTGCCATGTGATCAAGCATAAACGTTTCTATAATAGTACATAATAATGCAAAGAAGTATGCAGATTGTTACTGCTCGAATAGCATTGTCAGTTAAGTTAATAAAAGGGTTTTACCAAAATTAACCATAATCAAAGTTGGTTGTAGGATATTTACTTACTTACTTACAACTGTTACTCCTCGCGAAGGAGCATAGGCCGCTCACCAGCATTCTCCATCCAACCCTGTCCTGGGCAATCCTTTCCAGCTATTTCCAGTTCTTATTCATGCTTTTCATATCCGCTTCTATTTCCCGACGTAATGTGTTCTTTGGCCTTTCTCTTTTCGGCTTCCCTTCAGGATTCCAAGTTAGCGCTTGCCTCGTAATGCAGTTTGATGGTTTCCTCAATGTCCTGTCCATTTCCATCGTCTTTTCCTAATTTCCTCTTCAGCTGGAAGCTGATTGGTTCTCTCCCACAAAAGGCTGTTGCTAATGGTATCCGGCCAATGGGTTTTGAGTATCTTGCATAGACAGCGATTTATGAATACTTGTACTTTCTTGATGATGGTTGTTGTAGTTCTCCAAGTTTCATCTCCGTACAGTAGAACTGCCTTGACGTTGGTATTGAAGATTCTGACTTTGATATTGGTTGAAAGTTGTTTTGAGTTCCATATGATGCAGAGACTGCTGCTATGCTGACTGTTTTTGTCTGCATTTGTTCGTGTGTATTGGATAGGAGGGCTAGGTCATCTGCGAAGTCTAAATCGTCTAATTGATTCTGAGCTGTCCATTATATGCCGTGTTTTCCCTCAGGTGTCGAAGTCTTCATAATCCAGTCGACCACGAGAAGAAAGAAGAAGGGAGAGAGTAGACAGCCTTGTCTTACTCCGGTCCTTGCTTGGAATGCATCTGTCAGCTGTCCTCCATGCACGACCATGCACTGTAGTCCGTCGTATGAGTTCCGGATAATATTGACAATCTTCTCAGGAACTCCGTAATGTCGAAGAATTTTCCATAACGTTCTCCTATCTACACTGTCAAGTGCCTTCTCATAATCAATGTAGTTGATGTAGAGTGACGAGTTCCACTCAATTGATTGTTCGACGATGATCCGTAGTGTCGCAATCTGGTCTGTGCACGACCGGTCCTTACGGAATCCAGCTTGTTGATCTCGAAGTTGAGCGTCTACTGTGTCTTTCATCCTGTTCAGTAACACTCTGTTAAAGATTTTTCCTGGTAATGACAGTAGTAATGGTGCACATGGGCTCCAGTATCCTGAAGGAACAAATGGCGTATGAACCAATCGTTGGTCACCGGCTACCATGGGACTGCATCTCCTTACGATGCTCCACTGCCTTGTGGGTCAGACGTTCAGGTCGAAGGTTCAGGGTGTGGCCCTTTAAGAAAACCACCTGCTTCGGTTTGGGCACCCGGGCAGTATCACAGCCCTCACACAAATCAATTGAGATTTGTTTGGCGCATATGTATTTGGTACCTCTTTGTACCAATACCTGTGTTAAAATTTAAAAAATGACAGTAGTGTAATGCCTCCGTAATTCTCACACTTGCTCAGATCTCCTTTCTTTGGAATCTTGATGAGGTGTCCTTCTTTCTAGTCCATCGGCACTTGTTCCTCCTCCCAAATCTTCTTGAATAGAAGATGAAGCATGTTTGTAGTTACTTCGATGTCTGACTTCAGTGCTTCAGCTGGTATATTGTCAGGTCCTGCTGCTTTCTCGCTCTTGATTTGTCTGATGGCTATTCTGATTTCTTCTGTCGTTGGTGGATTGACATCTATAGGAAGATCTGTGTGTGCTGCTTCGATGTCCGGTGGATTCATTGGCGCCGGCCTATTCAGGAGTTTCTTGAAGTACTCTGCACATCTGTTCCGCTGTTGCTGAATCTCAGTGATCGGTCTTCCTTCTTTGTCTTTGACTGGTCTCTTTGGTTTAGTATATTTCCCTGCTAGTTTCTTCGTTGTATCGTAGGGTAAATGCTGATATATTGTCTGGAACCCAAACCAGCTTATCTGGTTTTCTTAGGAGGCTAATGTCCAAGTCTTTCGTCAGTCAGTAGGAAAGATTTGATCGCGACCAACTTGATCTCGTGTGCTGTTATGGGCATGAGGGCTGATGTCACTACCCGGCTGTCCACACCGTGGAAGGGTGTTTCTCGAGGAACCTGGTCTTAACGACCTGGGAGCGTGACTGCAGAGCCTGAGAGACAATTTCTTGAGGCTGGTCGCGCACGGCCTCTTTCGGGAAGTTTTTAACGTGTTAGCTCCGTTCTTCAAAGGGCCTTACCGCCGGAGACGAAAATCCGTAAGGTAAGGTGAGGCATGACATTTTTTAGGGTCGACCTTTTCTAACCCCTTCCTTTCTTGTCCGAAGGAAAAACCTTACTGCTCTCAGACCCCTCTACAGTCAGCAGGAAGACTTCGCCCTCACACCTTGAGTTGCTGGTTTTAGTCTTACTGTTCTCCAATCGACCTACCTGGCATGTTAGAACCTACAGGAACATATGTTCCAGCCTGTATAGCTCAGTTGGGTCATCACGATAGGCAACGCCGACCACCACATCAAGGTAGCAGCTACGGTCGTCTAGATGTAAATTCCAAAATGCAGTGCAGCAGCGTCAGGAATTTAAGTCCCGTGCTTAAAATAAGTTCATATGCCATTTGTTGCCCCAGTAACCTTGTTTATAATCAAGATTTCCAAACTCCCCTTGCTAGATCTTTTGTATTCGCTAACTCCTTTTTAAAACTGACTGTTCAATTTTCGTCTTCCTCACTGACCTACATTACTTGAAGTTAGAATGTCAAATCACTTGTTTGTTGAATATATTGCATTGCTCCATCGAATGATGAATATCATGCAAAATGTAAATTATTTAACAGTGCACTTTTAGAACAATATTTCTTCTTGATGATAAACACTTTGAACACAATATTTACTAAATTTATCATCATCACTAATAATAATAATAATAATAATAATAATAAACAGAATTACTTGAATGGAATTTGTACCGGAAAAAAAATTAAAGACACTGTGATTGTTGTAAAGATTTCATAAAGCATTGATCATATTTTTTTGACAAGATATATGTTTATTAGTTTGGATTAATGTATATGCGTTTTTAGTGAACATTTCATATACGATTGATAGTAAATAGTTCATACTTACATTTATATCGGAATAAATGTAAATAGAATTGATTAGTTGATATATATAATCTGTTGTAAATAAACACACTGACTCATTGTAAATAGAAATAAGTTAATCATTGTGAAACTTCGAGAAAATAACTTTTGTCAATGTAAACGCTTGGTAATTTAGTAAATAAATTGACAAGTTGTTCACCTGGTTCTTTATTAGAAACAATTTTTCCGTTAATGAACAATTTTATACCTTTCATGTACACTATTATTTCTGTAATTCAAGTCTGACGTACACAAAGTGGTTGTGTGGATTATTTTTATCATGAAATCTCTATCTTATTCTGCCTATCCAATTTCTTAGCCTAATCATTGATGTGTTTTTTTGTAAAGTATATATACCTTTTACAGATTATATTGCTAATACAATATATAAATAAGCTCATTTTTTGATAAATTCGATGTATTTGATACAACCAAATCCTTTGATAAACTTAAACAAAGCAAGAACAACTAGGTTTGCAAAAACCTATAGACGAAGACAGAAAAGGTTGATTTAAATCTAAACTGGTTGATATTGCAGATCAGTACTATATTTCCGCAACTATACAAAGGAACATATACCAACACTAACGAATTTACAAATGAAGAATAAGATCATTATAATACGACCAGATAAGTATTCTGGTGTCGTAATAATTAAGCGAAAAGATCATGTGCATAAAATATTTCAAATTCTCAACGGTAAATCAAGATTCCAAATCGATAAATCTAGAGGAGATATCATTGCAGCAATGGAGAACAGAGTCAGTAAACATCTCTAGGAACTTTTGAAAAGGAAACTCATTGATAATTCAACTTACAACAATTTGAAGGCAAAATGATCACGACTGCCTTTTGTATATGGTCTCCCTAAGGTACACAAATCCAACATCCCGTTAAGACCTATAATGTTTATGGCAAACTCACCATATCATAAGTTGGCTCGCTGGTTAAACATAATTATTAGAACCGATTCGTATAAAACTGGCGGTCAATAGTTAAAAAGACGCAATTCATTTTTCCGATGAAATAGATCAGTTGAATATATCAGATAAATTGATGGTATCTTCTCACGTGTGTTCAGTTTTTATGAGTAGACCACCAGCAATAACTTTTAGTGTAATTTACGAACAATCTGAATTACTTCCTTTGCCTAAAAATGAGTCGAGAAGATTATTACTATTTTGCGCGAAAGGAGTTCGTCTCCGATTCAACAATCAACTATACAAACAAACCGATAGGATGGCCATGGGGTCTATCTTGGCCGATATCTTCTTGACTAACCTAGAACTAGCGAAACTAAAACACGAAATCCAAAACACAACATACTACACCAGATTTTTTGACGACATTATCTGTGATGATGCTTCTCGGTTACTTAGTCAGTTCATCAACTCTCATCACGACATAACTTTCTCATTGGGATATGAAAGAGATAAACATTTGAATTTTTTAGATCTTAGTGTAAGACAGAAAAGTGATTGAAGTTTTGTGAAAAGTATATATAGGAAAGAAACATGGATTAGACAGTATTTGAACTTTAACAGCTTTTGTCCTGTCAGTTATAAAATGTCTATTCATGAAGCTCTTCAATATATCTATGATGTTATGCTCAAATGGCTAAATAAATGAAGAATTGGTTATTCAGGAAAAGTATTTGGTAAGAAATACATACCCGAGGGAATTTATTACTAACTTTGGGAGTAAATATCTCAGAGATGATAGACAACCAACTGTTAGGGAGAGACTTGTCTTCATTTGCCCTCTGTTCAAGGGAGATAAGATTTCATGAAGACTCTATAGGAGTCAAGGCGGTGCTGAAAAAGTTTCCTGCTGCTCAATTGGTTTCACAACTCAACATCAAGTGTTCTCTGTACCATTCAAAGGTAGATCAATACCCTTTCAACGTCACCTTTAATTGCATTTATGAATCTACATGTACCTACGGCAGCAATTACGTAGGAACGATAGAGAGGAGGGAACGTTTTCTGAACACATTCCCAGAAACTTATGGCTGAAAGTGAGTAAAGTCTTTGCAAGTACCAGACATATTTTGGATAGTAAACATAGAGTGAATGTAAGTGATGTATTCAAAATAATCAAAGACAAAAACACCGATCTTACTCCGTTTTGCAGAGGCCATCGCTATCAAACGTTTCCGACCTGACCTATGTATACAGAGCTAAAGTTTGATTAACCTTTCCCTGCCATAGTGATTGGACATTTGTCCAAAGATTTTAGTTAATTATAATATTTTTTTAACCATGTTCCCAACCTTTTTATTATTTTATTATCCTTTCATCTTCTGATATCCATCTCTACATAATCTGGTTGATGTTCACAGATTTGTTTATTTTATCATGTTGAACGACTACCCAGTCACTTGCTAATTTCATTACCCTTACATAACCTCTTAATTATTACTTCCCAACGTGAAAATACACAACACTTTGTATTCTGTTCGCCTTATTATATTGATCTCGGTTACACTTTGAACATTTATCGAAACTTCACAAACTACAATATGCTAAACATTTGTTGATAATTATATTTATATCAGAAGGGTTTTTGTGGATACTATGGTAATTTTAATGGTTCAGATCATGAGTCAATTAAAGCTAGACCATCATGGAAGACCTGGAGGCACTGGACGGCCGTTTCGTCCTATTGTGAGACTCCTCTGCAGTACGCATCCACGACCCGACCTCGCGAGATTCGAACGCAGGACCTACCAGTCTCGCGCGCGAGCGTTTAAGCACTCGACCACTGAGCCGGCATTCAACGGTGTTAATGTACAACTTCAACCAATCCATGACATTTCACGACCATCCTCCATTGTCTTCGGTGGGTAACTGCCTTACACCTGACACGGTTTCAAGGGTTTATTATATTAATGAAATTTATATAAATTACCTAAATTTCTAGGTGATATCTTGTTTAATCATATAAACGATAGTATATAATTATTTGTTTTTTATCTCTTAATAAAACATCTATAAAATTACAAATCTGTACAAAATCATGTACATTAGAAAGATAGAACAACCGATCAATGAAACGCCTGTCCGTTGATCTACAAAAATAATCAATAACTTAATCGCATACCCATCTACTGGACATTAAATACAACGTTAATATAATGGGTCTTTTTAAAATTACTAATAAATTTGTATACTACTTTGATTCACTGTTTTCATAAACAACTAAGCCACTAAAATATATTAATAGTTAAATTTCATCTGTTTAATGACACAACTCGACTTGATTTTCTCTCTCTCTATTTGTGGTTTTATGTACCTTAATCGTTATTTCACAAACTTAGTATAGTGTTTGTTAAGGCTATAATTGTGTATGAAGAATACTATAAAATGTTGTATATCAATGATATTACGTTGATTTTTTTTTGGAAAACAAGATTCATACTATCTGGTCGACAATGCATTAAACCAAAAAAAAAATCATCATTTTGCACAGATCATTCCTGTTTATTCCACTTTTTTTCTCCTAGTAACAATTTAAGTATTATTTAATCAGCTTATCTATCTGTTTATTTGTAACAGTAAATAAGGTATAAAATGATAAGTTTATTTGTCTAACAGATGTCTAAACTGATGTACATGTTTTTTGTCTTTTGCATTTTGAATAAATAATTTGCTCCTAAATATTTTTATTTAATTTTCTTTGTAAATAGATGAGTCTGTATTTGCATCGACAATCATGCAAATATGTGAGAATGAAGATTCTGATGTACCTAATTTTATTGTTCGTGCAATTCGTGCTATTGAAGCTCGAGGTATTCTTTTTTTGTCATGTATAACATTGTTTTTATAGTTTTATTCCTTGGTTTGAGTATTAGACCACTTACAGATTGAAACCCAAACAAATTTACAAAGATCTCATTATAACACTAATGTGATCTTTTATGATATGATTAATGCTTTTCTCTAATGCTGTCCGTAATAAATATGTATTATCATATATGAGCATTCGGGTTATCCATACCACAAGAGGATATTCCTTCTTTAAAAAATTATGAAATAAACGTGATTCGTATTCAAGATCTTGTCGATCTTAAAGCCTGTCTTAAACCAGTTTCGCACGGCATTTTTGTGAATGGACTTATTTATTTTATTTTATTTGAACACATAAATATTGGTACAGGGGGGCACCAAATATATATGCGCCACACAAAACAATGATAATTTGAATAGAAGGAGAAAAAAGAAAAAAAAAGTAATGAAAGTGGGGAATTATAAAAAAAAGAGAGAGAGAGAACAATAGTGGAGGAAACGGAAAGGTACAATCAGAAGAGATCTTTCAGTTAAGGAAGATACAACCACTTTTTATGAAGAAAGTAAAAGAAGGTTACAGCACGATCGCCACTGGCTTCTATTCTGAGCCATATCTGATAACGTCTCTAGCCACTGCGTTACACCGTCTCTCGGACCCCAACCAAGGAGTCGTGAACGACCAACACAAGCCAGCCCTTTGCAGCTTTCTTTCATACCACGACACCATGTCATATACTGACCACCTCTCCGCTTTTTCCAACCAGTCCCAGAGTCGGCAAATAATGCACGACGTGGAATTCTCTGGAACGACATCTGTAGAACATGTCCAAGCCACCGAAGTCGGTGTTTTAAAATGGTGACACCAATTGGATTTCTGTCTCTGTGCCCGAACACACGATGCCGAACCTCTGCATTACTGACATGGTGTTGCCACTGGATGCCAGCAATCCTTCGGAGACAGCGATGATTGAACACAGAGAGTCGTCTAACATCCTCAGCGCGGAGAGGCCAGGTTTCACAAGCATAGAGCAAAACTGCTCTCACCGTCGCGTTGTAGATCCGACCTTTTACAGCCAGACTAACATCACGAAGGCGCCAATGATGGCCCAGATTGGCATAAGCCGCTCTGGATTTCACTATACGTGCATTGATCTCATCACTCACGCCACCACCAGCACTTATGCAGCTACCTAGAGACACGAACTTCTCGACAACTTCAATCTGCTTACCATCCACAGTGAGTACAGGATAAGAATCCTGCCAGTCTTGTAGAAGTACTTTGCACTTCGAGGGTGCAAAGCACATACCATACCTACGTACACTGATTGCCAACTGATTAAGTGCGGATTGCATAGCTTGGGCATTCTCGCACAGTAAGACAATATCATCCGCATACTCAAGGTCGAGAAGTCTTTCTCCAGGTAACAGATCCACACCACCATTGTCTACATCCATCAGAGCTGTTTCCGGAATGTCATCGATGGCAAAGTTGAAGAGGAATGGTGAGATTGGGCAACCCTGCCTAACCCCACTGCTCGAATGGAATAATGGAGAGAGGTGATTGTATGTCCTTACTCTGCCTGAGGTGTTTATATATAGGGCTTTTAGGATGTTAATAAACTTCTCAGGCACACCCTTCTTCAATAGACAATCCCAGAGAACGGACCTATCCAACGAATCGAAGGCAGCCCTGATGTCAAGAAACACTACGATTGTTGGCCTTTGATAAGTATGACAGTGTTCTAACATTTGGCGGAGGGTGAAGATATGATCAATACATCCTCGACCGGAACGAAAACCAGCCTGCTCCTCGCGAGTCAGTGTTTCTCGGGTTCTGAACAACCTACGAAGTATAACGGAAGCCAATAGCTTGGACGCAATCAGAAGTAGACTTATCCCCCGATAGTTGTTACAGGAACGACGTGAACCCTTTTTAAAATAGGGACAACTATCGACTAATTCCATGACGTTGGTACACTCTCTAGTTCCCAGACCTTTGTAAACAACGTCGTCAGTCCCTTAGTCAGAAAGTCACCACCATCTTTAAAAAGAGCCGGAGGTAAGTCATCTCGGCCCGGTGATTTGTAACGCTTCAAGAGTTGGAGTTCCTTGCGGACTTCCGCCTCATTTGGTGGATCAGTCGTCACCGGCCATGGAGGGCAGGACAGTCTGACCGATGTTGCCGGAGCAGCAGGCCAGTTGAACTGCCCTTCGAAAAATTCTGCCCATCGTCCAAGACGTCGATGGATGTTAGTGATTGGCGTTCCGTCATCCTCGCAGATTGTTTCGCTCACACCAGACTTCTTGCTGCCAGTGGCCCGGATGAGTTGGAAGAGCTTCCGGTAGTTACCAGATGCAGCAGCTGCTTCCAACTCACTGGCACGCTCCGACCACCAGGCTTCTCGGTCCTTACGCAAGCTTTGCCCGATTTCATTACGTAACCTCCTTCGTCTGTGGTCAAACTCACGGTCACCCGGAGTAGACCGACGGGCTTCGATCAGTTGTAAGGAACCAGAAGAAACCCAGTGCTTATAAGCGGGACGTTTCGCAAACCCACAACAGACTGTACCCGCCATTTTCATGGCGTCATGCAATTGCAACCAATGCTCATCTATACTTTTCGGTGGAATGGTAGTTAGCCTAGAAGCTAGCTCGGTTCGGTACATACTAGCAACAGAAGTTGCAGCCAGCTTGCTAACATCAATCCTGTGGTAGCGGTCACTTCGTTGTCCACTGAAAAGTAAGTTAAGATTGGCACAGACCAGAGCATGATCAGATTCCAGATAGGTACTCCAAAAGGAGCAGCAGTCTTGTACACAACCACGCCAGCGGTAGCTGATCGCGATGTGATCAATCTGAGTCCAGGTTTGAGATGCAGAAGGGGGACGCCAGGTGGCACATCGGCGATGACTGTGTCGAAAGTTAGTGCTAGCCAGAAACAGGTTGTGGTCTGTGCATAGTTGCAGTAGACGTTCCCCGTCATCTGTCCAACGAGTCCCCATCGGCCACCTAAACGACTCTCTTCTGTGCCTAGACGCCCGACCTGAGCATTCAAGTCTCCGACTAGTATTACAATATCTGTCGAACGCACTTTCTGGAGAAGAACAGTTAGCTGGTGGTAGAACTCGTCCTTGATTGCATCCGGGCTGCAATCTGTCGGGGCATAGGCGGAGATGACGAAAAGACATCGTTTCTCACGCCGATCTCTTCTCACTTTGATGGAACTTTCTAATCTAACAGCACATAACCGACTGTTAATGGAGATCCAGTCGACTAGTGCTGCCTCAGCTCTAGCGCTTAGTGTGACACCAACGCCAGCAAGACCAGACGAAGATGCCACAGGGTCCCCGGATAAACGCACGTAAAACAAGCTATTCGAAGTGACAGATGGAGAGCGAATTTGTAGTACTTCACCAGAGTCTTGAATACGGGTCTCGGATAGACAACAAACGTCGATATTAAGACTTTCCAAAGACATAGCCAGCTCTATCTGTTGTCCGACCTGCATAAGTGTGCGAACGTTGAAGGCAGCCAGTTTGAATGGTGCACGTGGTTTCAGAAAAACTGCTTCAGTACTCATATTCGATGGTAACATACAATTTTCAACTAGGCAGTGACTCGAGAACGTTTAGATAAAGCTGAATTTTCACCATAGGCGAGCTGCTGTCTGAGTCGAAACGGATACAAAAAGTAGAAATAGGAGATAGTGAATAAATGACGTGGTAAATAATAATAATAATAATACCAGTCATTTCAATGTTAGTCGGAGAGAAACGAATATTTTCTATAAGCAGATAGTTCATCATAGTTTTAGTGTGTGGGCTGAGATACTGCCCGGGTGCCCAAACCGAAGCAGGTGGTTTTCTTAAGGGGCCACACCCCGAGCCTTTGACCTAAAGGTCTAGTCCACAAGGCAGTGGAGCATCGTGAGGAGACGCAGTCCCATGGTAGCCGGTGACCAACGATTGGTTCATACGCCATTTGTTCCTTCAGGATACTGGAGCCCATGTGCACCATAGAATTGGGATCCGGTTAAAGCGCCGGAAATTCGCTTTTCGTCCTCTCATTTTCGTAAACAACAACGTGTTTATGTATCACCTAAAATACTTCCAGTGATTAGAAAAGTTTAACTTTTGAACTGATATTTCAGTTACTATTTCATCATTGCTGTGTTTAGCATAACTGACAGGACATAACTTTAATCCAGAACAAAATCTAAGGAGCCTACGTATTTTAGCATTGTGTCCATTATTTATTGCAGAAAACTTTTACTCAGTAAATAGACTTTTTATACCTGTAAGTTTATTTTAAACTATGAAGTAAGTGGTTTAAATATATAGAGTATCTGGCGAGTATGTGACGTCATTAGTTGATGGTAGGATGATGGAATTTATTTATTTATTTATTTTAACACATAGATATCGGTACAAGAAGGCACCAAATACATATGCGCCACACATATCTCATTTGATATGTGTGAGGGCTGTGATACTGCCCGGGTGCCCAAACCGAAGCAATTGGTTTTCTTAGGGGGCCACACCCCGAGCCTTTGACCTGAAGATCTGATCCACAAGGCAGTGGAGCATCGTGAGGAGATGCAGTCCCATGGTAGCCGGTGACCAACGATTGGTTCATACGCCATTTGTTCCTTCAGGATACTGGAGCCCATGTGCACCATAGAATTGGGATCCGGTTAAAGCGCCGGAAATTCGCTTTTCGTCCTCTCATTTTCGTAAACAACACCCCCGCCACGAGAAGGCATTGAGTAGGACTTCCCTGGCAGAGGCTGTATACGCGTGGCCGTGTGAGAGTATTTCGAGAGGGAGGGCGAACCCTCCCCGCTCTCGGCCATACCAGGGCATTCGGGGGCTTATGATGGACTTGGTTGTGTTAGTTGGTTTGGTACTTTTCAAACTATACCACTATTAGAAATCCATGCAATACCGGGTAGTAAACTGTTTTCTGTACCAAACTACTTGAACCTCTTATTTACGTCCATGGCAAGACAGCATCGTTAGATTTGCTAGTTATTCGTGGTAATAAATTAAATACCAGGAAGTAAGTAACCATGTTAGTCAACCCCTTAATTCTTAGGCTGTTAAATAACGTGCAAAATCTAAATCCAGCATCCAATCACATTTGAAATTAATTTACATCGTATAGGTCTAAAATATAAAACCGTTCATTTTCATTGAAAACTCGTTCGGGATTTTGTTATCCGTTAACTATAGGCTTTAAACTGCAATAATCCGGCCTTACAAGTAACCATGACTCGACCACATTAGTCTCATCAAGTCCAACGAGCGGAACTCAGTGTTTTTTTCTCATAGGATACCACAACACATTCGATAAAACTACTTTGTCCCTGTTTGTTTTGTGGGAGCGTGTTTCAAGCAGTACAATTCTCATAATCCTGTACTAATCTGAGCAGGACCACCATTGGGGACTTGGAATCAGTGGATCGCCATTCTATTCTAGTATGGGACTCCTCACCAGTGCACATCTGAAACCTCTCACGTGTGAATCGAACCCAGGAGCAACGGTTATTGGCTTCATCGACTGATGCTATGGTTAATTTTGGCCTCCCCTACTTAGCTGTCAACTCACTCCTAGAGTACCTAACTTCGATCGTCAAGGTAGGCGGCAATTCGTCGTGCATAATACATGTTCCAACAACCTCAGATGACTGGGAATCACAAGCTCACTAACCTATTTGTCATCCTTGCCTAGTATTCTACGGCCAAACTCAATATAGGTCACCTAGTTGTTCCACAATAAGCGAATAAACCTTGAAATACGCTTATGACCAAAAACCAACAAACTACAGATGTCATTTAATTTCATAAACTATGATTCATAGTTATCACGTAGGATAAAGCAGATTGCTTCTCACTATACGGTTTTGTTGGTTGGCAGATGTACATCTCACCCACACCACAAATAAATCTGATTGGGGAAAGCCAAAGGAGAGTTTTAAGTTCATGGTGAGACTTGTTCAGACACTAAACCACTGAGACTTACGAGACTCAAATGATTCCAGAGATTTCACATTACGTCTTCGTATACACCGAATAGGACTTCATTATTTGTGTGCTCTATGTCGGTAACTGAACCTCATATATCCCGACCAAGACTGGTCAAATTTCAGTCAAGAGCATCAACACCATTGGATGGCTATCGGGACTCAGTAGATCAGTGGATAACGCGATGGCATTTGAAGCGAACGGGTTTGAGTCCCGGGATGTAAATCAACTCTGAAATGCAGGTACATCCAGCTGATAAATCCCAAATAGAACGAAACGCGAGTCCTAGATTTAACTTCTAGCCACACTCCATCTATTTTATACTAAACGTAATTGTTTTTTAAATGTTAATCCATCAATATTCAAATTTAACAATTTTATTTTATTTTGCTTGTCCTATTAAATTTTAGGACTTGATCATGTTGGGATTTATCGATCAAGCGGAAATGGTGCTACAATCCAAAAACTTCGTTGCGCCGTTAATCAATGTAAGTGGACTGAAATATATTGTTTGTTTATTTACTGTAAATTGATAGCTCTTAAGATGACTGCCAGAAGTTGTTTTTAATATTCAAATTGTCTATAAAATCAATAATTGTTTGTTTTTCTGCTGCGGAAAGGTGTCACGGTGTGACTATACTTTACGTGCGACATTTGAGCGACGCTAAAGTGACCTTCGGAATGTCCATCTACTTATTAGGGCTAAGTGAGGGTTATAAAGCAGTTTGAAGAATAAGGATTATGATTTAGAATTTACGGTGAGAGTTAGGAATCAGATTTATGATTTTCATCACGAACTGACATCAGCTAAATTTCCAAAACGTGATTTAGACAAATACATGGATGAATTTCGCGCCAAAATCCAAGATCACTCTAGAAATCTCCAAGCATTGGCTAACGCTGATTGGACAAGAATTAACCAATCAGCGTGCACCAAGGCAATCGTGCATGGAGCATGCTTCAATCCAATCTATGTCCCTCTAACACCCGCTATCTTAAATCTGATTGGTTCGTCCATCAATTATAGTTTCACCACTGCATATTTAGTTACTTCAATTTAATGACTTAAATAGTTTAATGAACCCTCTCTTTCTCTGTCTTATACGTTAAAGCTTAAGATCGATCGTATAAACACATACTTGATCATTGGTTAGTATACTATTTTTGATTTGATTATTGTGTGAATATCTATGGGTTAACATATAATGTAGTGTTCTGAATCTCATTTTTCATGTGATTTCAATAATAGAATTAATTTCAGCATAACATCGAATGATCATCTGATAACTAAAGTTCAATTTGGATTCATTTAGACAAAACCTAAAAATAATCAACCAGAATAACTGTCAATTATATATTGAATTGTTATTGTTCATTTAGGCATAGAATTACATTTAAATATGAATAAATTAACTTACATTACTATATTATCAATATTACATAAGTGGGTGGTATTTTTTTTTTGCTTCAGAAATATCATATACTGATATTTAGTGTTTAACATTTCCTTTTTTGTTTACAGTATGCATGATCAATTGTGACTCTCGTTTTGATAGTAAATAGTTACAGTTACATAATTGGTAAACTTTATATAGGTCAATCGACTTCTTATATAAAAAGTCCTGTTGCTATGTCCTTTTGTTCCAAGTATACAGTTTATCACACTATGTTGCTACGGACATCTGAATTGTGTAACATTTGTTAATAGTCTGTTTCCGTTGTTGTAATAATTTAGGGAACAAAAGCATTGGCAATGAGTTAACCGTTGGTTATCAGTCTTCAGTTAAAATCCAGTAAGCTTGCGGTATTTTGACTATTGAATGATGTCACTTTCAAGCCACTTACATAGGTTCTTGATTGAGGTCAGGAACTGATTTACGTTAGACCACCGTTGGAAACCTGGAAGCACTAGACAACCGTTACGTCCTATTGTGGGACTCCTCAGCAGTGCGCATCCACGGTCCCACCCACAGGATCCGAACCTAGGGCCTCCAGTCTCGCGCGCGAATGCTTAATATACTGGACCACTGGGGCGGCATCCCTATACTGATAATTAACGTATGCTCACTAGTGACTAGCTTCGTGAGGGAATTCTCGGAACTCTAGTGAGAAGCCGTGAGCAGTGGAGCTAATCCGTGTCGAATAAAGACAGGTATCTACCTCAATACAATCGAAGATGGTCGCGCAATTTCGTGGATTGATTGAGGCTAGACACTAACGTTAATTGATGCCGGCTTAGTGATCCAGTAGGTTAAGCATTCGCGCGCGAGACTGAAGGCCATGGATTCGAATCCTGTGAGTGGGATCGTGAATGCTCACTGCTGAGGAGTCCCACGATAGGATGAAATGGCTGTCTAGTGTTTCCAGGTTTTCAATTGTGGTTTAACATCAGTCGGTTCATGATCTAAATCAAAAACTTAATAATCTCCACAACCCCTATAGTGATACATAGGTTCTGTTAAATTTTCTCTTATTACGACCCAGCTACTCTTATTGCTTAATATTCTAGGGCACTACATCACTCGACCGGCCCCACTTTAGATTAATGACATTTGATTTTAGACAATTTGGAATACTTTAAAATGACTGTAGGCTTTATGCTGGTTGACATTTGTGTCCAGAAAGCTTAAAGGCACTTATATTTACTCGAAGGCGATTTCAATACGGATCACATCGAGGATATTACTACTAAATTATTCGGTTTTCACAGATATGTCCACATTAATCGACCACTTTATAATGATCACTATCACATCTCTTTTTTCTGTACTGATTACATTCTCTTTACCAATTTATATGGCCAATGGTTTAAGTGCTAATTTAGACCAATTGGTAATGACTTGCGGAATTACTTAAACCTAACAATAATCCCTTAAATTTTTTACGTTTCATCAGTGATAAATACAAATGTATATACTTTTTTATTTCGTTTTTGATTATTTTGTTTGTATTTTGGTGTTGTTACATAGAAAGAATTACGGTTAAAATTCACTTCTGTTGTATATGTTCATTTTAATTGCATCATTTGGTTAAAGTGGCAACAGTCATCATATCAAGACAAAAAGCAGTGATAATGTGTTATTATTATTGTTACTAATTTTTACTTTTATCATCATTCACGCATTTTCAATTATTCCAATTAATGTACAGTATATTAAATCAATAAGTTTTTAATGTTTACGGGTCGTACCTTAAAATCTGACGTTAGAGGCAAAGAAGAAAATGCCACAATCATTTTGATATTATCTAGATAAGACTGTGCAGACGTCTTCCATTTCAAATGTTACATTATATGGTAATAAGCATTCTGTTAAGAGAAGACTGTTCCTTTTGTTCTGTTGTTATAATACATTATACAATAAGTTGATCAATCAAAACTGTTTTAACTTGAACATAATGAAACTGACAATCAGCAGGTATTTTTGTTGTTTACACACATTTTGTGTTAGATGCATAGAAAGTCAATTTATGTATATTTTGTTCGTATTTGTCATATTGTGTAATAGTATTATATGTTAGCTTAATTGATTGATAATTAGTAAGATTGGCAAATTGATATTTTGCCCATTAGACTGTTCTTCAAATCTACTACTAATAATACTATTACTACCAAAGTGAACGATTATTTCGTGGAGATAATTGATTTATTGTTCAATACAAATTACAAATATGAATACCATACATTAAATACTTGATTTGCACATCATCCGTCAATTGTCTCTTCCAAACTTCATCATTACTTGCTCCCTGTTGTTATTACAATTACTCTCTGCATTCCTGTTCTCTTCAATTCGATCTTCTTAACCACCTGTTGCTAGTCATTTCACATCTGATTGGTGTTTATATACACCACACTACTATCGACTGATTGCATATTCAGTAATGAAAACCACTAATTAATCAATCAAAATAGCATGACTATGACTTATATGTCAGTTTTGACTTAATAAGTTGTAATAGTTCAAAATATAAGGTATAAGATCATCTTTATGTTTTTATTCGATAAGATAGTGGTTGGAGGTAGGTAGTCAACAGGGAACCCTGGACCCGGGTTTCGTGTTACTTGGCACTCGTCAACAAGGTGTACCTGTAATCTCGTATTATTTAAATGCTTAATTTCGTATATTTAAGTTTTAACCTAATTTATAAATGATATTCGTCAGGCATTGACCTCAGTTTGAGTATCATTTTGCTAAGAACGGATCAAATCAACTAGTTTTTCGTTATTACAAGTCAGTCCTTTTTTTAATGGATAACGTCGATGAAATTTTCCTGATTCGGATCTTCTCAATAAACTTTCATTCCGTATTGTTTGTTCGATTCTTCCCATTGATGCTTAGTAAACCCGGTTGACGAGTCCCAAATAGGACGAAACTCGCGTCCTCGATTCCACTGCTATCCACCATCCATCTTTGCTTTCATATCACCTGATTTGTATACTGATCTTCTGTTTATTATCGTTACTGTACTAACGGCTGGTTCCTGAAGAGTTGTGGGCCAGTTGCCGCTATCGAGTGTACAGTAAAAATGCTCGTATTAGAATAACTCAATCGTTCCTTAATTTGCAAACCTTAATAGACACTCTTTTTATCAGCATTTAACATATTAAAAATTAGGGATCACTGGACAATTGTCTTATTCTATTATCAAACTCCTCAGCAGTGTGTGTTCATAATCTGTATAAGAATAGAATCTAAAATCTTCAGACTTCGCGGAATGCGACTAAACATTGAAGCGGCATCAAATGTCAAACAATTTCTTTTTCAAAATCCATTTAGTTTTACATATCTTTTGTTTATTAATCTGAATCAGAAGTATTGTAATTGGTAGAGAATTGAATTCGTTTATAAAGCTCACTTCTAAACATTGTGTAGATTATTTTAGCCTTGAAAGTAATTCGGTCTCTAGTCTTTAAATAACTCTTTTACACCTAGTGAATATAACTTTCCCACCATATGTTTGAACATTGAACGAGAGTTTACATCATGTAGTGGGACTTACAATAAATTTACTTCAACAACACCAAATAAAATTTCTTGAAATATTAAACATTTTATGAATAACATGGCACTTAAATTGTGTGTCAAAGTATGCTATACAAGCTTATGTCACCAGTCAATAAAGTTATTGTTAGTCCACGTTATTCGAACACTTGGCTTTATTGTTTCTAATTTAAAGGTAAATTTCTTTGAGAATGAAATGGAGTAGTGGCTCAGTCGTTAATGTGTTCGACTCTAAGCCAATTAGTTTGGAGTTAGAACACTACCGCGCCTTCTTTAGTTCAAGCGACCGATTAAAATTACTAATTCCTACACTTAGAGTGTGGCTCTAAACCAAGTAGTTATTAAATGAGATAATAATCATAATGTTGGGAAAACAAGGTGACAGAACAAATTAGACAAGTTTTTTAGTCAACGGGCGAAGGTGGGGTTTTAAGCTTCAGGCTGGAAACATTTTTTAAACCTTTGAATACAATTTTGAACCGAATCCTCTCATCTAGTGGTTTTTAATAAGTAATTTATTATGCTATGCAATGGTTAGTAGGTGGTCTGTTTATCCTAATGTAGTTACATGTTTATACTAGCTAAGTTACACAAGCTGTAGGTAAAATATATCAATCAAATTATCCAATGTTTCCATCTAAACTGTGTACTTTAAGTTCATTCTACATACTAGTGTATTGACGATGAATATCATGTATAGTTCTATTATTTAATAAACTACACTTTATCATTGTTTACTTTTAAATTTTTATGCATATATGTAGTGTACGTGTTATTATACTACCTGATATTCTTATCTATAATTAACAAACTTTTTAAGTGTTTAATGCAAAGCCATGACCTAAAAAGTCAACCGAACTGGAAATAAAGACAATTTCACTAATCAATAATGGCTAGATTCAAACAAAAGTATTAAAATATAGAATGTTGGGCATTCTGAACACATTAGCTTAACGGTTATTCTTGACATCTGATATAAACGGGAGTATAAAAATAGTTCCTATTTTTACTATTTACTACTATAATAAGGCAATACAATCGGTTGTAGAGGTCATATTACCATTAGACTGGATACTTACTTACGTCAGTTACCCGTCGTGGATGAACAAAGGCCTCCTACCAAGATTCTTCACCAAACTTTATTCTCGGCAATCCTTTCTACTTGACATTTATTCTTTAAATATAGAAGCGATAATTTTCTCAGCAATATTACAACCAGTTTACACTCAATGAGTTCAGAGTAGAAATCAATAATAAAAAGGTACATAAGGTATCTAATGCTTAATAATCTGAACGTCTCTGTTCACTCTCAATGGTCAATTGCATCTTACTTTCACTACTAGACATCAGCATTATTATTCACTTTAAATAATTAAGTTCAATCATTTAGATGATTGTGAATATGAACTGATATGAAATATTAAGTAAAGATAAAATAGCTGTATATTGGTGTCTACTTTTTCAATAATCCTCCAGTTAATAAGATTACTTTTAAATATCATTTCTAATTAAACTATCCTCTTTATATTTCAGATATCATTAATATTGTTTTAATGATCAGTTGAAATACTTGATTTGTTTCTTGATTCTATTTATCATTATTATAGATAACTACAGTTTAAATTCTGAAAAATGGAGTTTAGAAGTATTAACAGGGGCATTGAAATTATTTTTTCGTGAACTTAAAGAACCACTTATAACATTCAAAATATATCCAGAAGTTGATCAACTATTAGGTAAATAAATTATTCAATAAATATTAATAATACAGTAAATAATGTTTGCTAATATTTTTTACAAGAAAAAAATTTTTTTCGCATTATCCTTTTTCATCGTTATTGAAATGGTTTCCTTTGTTTTAATGGTTTTATTGTACTGCGTTTTTGTAATTTTGTTATATTTCTTTTAAAAAAAAGATCAGTCCCTTAATTTGTTTTTGAGATCATGAACCGATTGATGTTAGACCACCGTTGAAAACCTGGAAGCACTGGACGACCGTTTCATCTTATTGTGGGACTCCTAAGCGGTGCTCATCCACGATCCCGTTCGCGGGATTCCTTGACTTGTATTAGCGTCTGTGTGATCGGACCGTCTATAATAGGAGTTGTATTATCTAGTTTGAATATTGACTTCTTTACTTATATGGCCTATAGAACTGATGACCTTTTTTATACCAATGAACAACTTCTTAAGCCTTAATGCTGATTGGCCCTTGGACTCTTTGCAATCCAGTTTACAATCAGATAAGGACAACAAACAGATTAATTCTCATTTGTACTCTATTCATTTATGACTCAAAATTCATAGAATACTTTACCTCGAATACCTGCTCGGGTAGTATAAAAATAAGAGATCACAATGTATACACAGTTCAACCATAAGTTATACAAAATTGAGCAATTAAAAATTTAATAATTAATGAAAAACCTGGAACAGTAAGACGTACAAAACGGTTTGTGTGTCAAGAGAAAACGTACAAATATGTGATAATGACACAATACCCCAAACGTCTAATCGTTCTGCAATACTAACAATAATTTCCAGTAGAATGTTTCTGGAATATCAACTACGTTCAAATCTTTTTCGAAATAAACAGTTTTGATGTGATTCTCATCTTAAATAGACACAAATCCTAGTACATTATGTTTCCAGAGGAAATTTCATGTGACTGTCAAACTTTGTTCTTCTTAGGTTTGTCGAAGCCATAGACATCGAATGTCTCAAGTTAGGTTTGTGTATTCAAAGGGAAACGGCGGCGTGTCTTTCCTTACCATCGTCATGTTATCGTCGATATAATACATCATTCTCACAACTCTCCCTTATTTTTATGCATCACTAATTTCAAATTCATGACTTTATTTTTAACTGACTGACCTCAACTCAACTTATGTTATTCTTAATTACTACTAATTCGTGTCTTCATAGCATAATCAGTTGTCAATTGTCAACTTCTGTTCGGAATACAAAGCGACCCTCAAAGTCTCATCTCTATCTCATGTTAACTAGTGGATTATTAAAGATGACCTGTTGTGTTTTAGACGTTCAGTATGTTGAAATTCATATTCGTTTTCGTTCGTCTTAGAAGATTCGTAGTTGCTCATAAAATAGGATTCATTGTTGGTCGTCTGGAAACCCCCAATTCATAATCGTTTTTATATATCTACTGTTTACGTTGTTATTAGGTTATATAACTCTATAATACAACATTTTGTATAATCTATAATTATGGATCATTCTTGGATTGGATTTCCTTTTATTCAATATACAGGTGATAATGATACAGCGCCAGATTTAAAAGTGATTAGAATGCGAGAATTGATCAACTCTATGCCTGTCCCACATATCAACACATCTCGAATATTTTTTCATCATTTGTACAGGTAAGATAGTGAAATAAGTTAAGTTTTACTACGAAAGAATTAACTTTTTTTAAGGAATTCTCAATATAGTAAAATCTATAGATTTAGGATTATATATATATATATATATATATATATATATATATATATATATGTATAATATTTTCATTGTTCAAATGTTGTGCGGACTAGTCGCCCAGATCCCTATCGTATTAGGAGACATCTTCCAAACGTCCTTAATTCGGAATAATCGTAATGTATCTCAAAACAGAACTGTAGACAATCAAAATGGACCAAGGTCCTTTTGTATTTGCCGCTATATCAGCAAGAGCCTATCTGCAAACTTAAGAGAACTAGTGAAACAGTAGGATACTGACCCATGCCACTCATTATCAGTCATAGTCGTTAGCATCCAGCTATGCAAACCGCCATTGATATCCCATACGCATGTGACCGACCACTTGTAATGCTATGTATTGCTGTTATGTGGTGTTGCGTTATTAAAGCAAGGAAAAACGAATGCACTACCATATACACAAATAACTTTGAACCATATGAAATAACAGTATTCATCTACAGGTTCGATTTACAATTAATAACATTTCGTACATTGCTTGAATATAGAACCCTATGTAGGTTTTAATTCATCCTCATGAATCCACTCAGTCAAAAATTGATTGTGCCACTACCAAATGAAATTCACTCTAAAGGTTTATTTGTCGTCGTCACGTTATTTCCTTAAAATCAAGGACATCAAGATTTCTTTTATTTACATTAAAAGTTGAGGGTTGTCTAAATATGCTTGCACATAACTTTCTTAAAATCTGTTTCCAATAAACTTCATTGCTTTGTATTCTACTTTTTCATTTCTTAGAGTAATGCAATTGTCCAGTATCAACCAAATGCATTCTTACAATTTGGCTATTGTTTTCGGACCCAGTTTAATTTGGCCAGAAGTAGAGTCTGTCGCATATAGAGCACTTAAGTCTGTACAGGTCCCATGTATAGAATATCTTCTTACACATGTAGAGGAAATATTCGGACCAGTAACCCCACCGCCAGTTATTTCATAAGTTCATACATGGAAATAAATACTGTTTCCAATATTTTATATGAATAATAGGTTAAGTTCAACCATTTTTATAAATACAAACACAACGCAATGCTCAAAATCTACTTGTTTGTCTCCGATCCAATTATCATTATCAGCTTTAGAGTTATCATCAAATATTTTTGATCTCTTCCAATGTTTTTTTTAAATCCATATTATCATAACACATGTATAGTGTGTAATATTTGGCTTTTTATTTAAAAGACACACCAAGTAAAGTAATTTTGCAATTTTTTAAAATTCTATACGACACATCTCTATATATTGTAACTTTCCTTAAATTTGTTTGCTTTCTAGTAAACACTTTTGTTTGCAATAAACATCACTTTATACTTGCTAAAATAATTGCAAAAATGTGATACAAAATAACACTCAGCACTGTAAATTTCTCTTGTTTTCTACTAGATTGTTAGGGTTTGAATGATTTCAACGAATATCTTCTGTCTATAGTTTTCGTTTTGTTTAAATTGATTCATTTGTTTTACTAGTCATTTTAACCATTTTTATAGTGTTCTTGTTATGGTTGATGAGGCAGGATACTAGATTAAAATCAGTAGGTAAAATGTTAAACGATAGGTGAACAGAACGATATGATTTGGTTAAGTGATGGTCACTCACAAGACTGTATTATTGACTTCGATTTCCTGAAGTTAGAAATCAAAAACAAGACCACTAAGCAGATGCAATGAAACATGTTCATATACAGCAGTCAGTCAGTAACAACGTGGAACTTCGTACGTACGTACATCAGTTCGAGTTGCCACACCACATTAGCACAGAGATTCAGTTATCGATTCAAATCCCATAGTGATAGAGGTAGTGAAAGTATAAGTAGTGATAGGGGACATTAGGGTTTGATGATGTTATTCAAGGAGTATAGTCCAGTGGAATAGATTTGGAAAGAAAATAAAGGACATGAAGAATTCAGAAGATTGGAGTTTGAGAAAACACAAAGAGTGGATGCACCTGCGTCACTGCAAACGATTTTGAGCCATGTCATTCAAGGTCTCTAACCATCGGTTGCTATCATCTCGCGGTCCCCAACCAGGTAGTCTACACCTACCAACATGACTCAGTCCACTTGTCAATAACTTCATGGATCTATGCCATGTTTTGGTCTGGCCGCCCCTAGCTTTCTTCCAACCTACTCCTACACCATAAAACATCGCGCGTCGGGGCAGTCGGTGGTCGGGCATGCGCAACACATTTCCCAGCCATCTCAACTGATTAAGTTTCACTACTTGATCAATTGATTTGCCATCCTCACCTAATACCCGTTTCCTAACAACTGAGGTACTTACTCGGTGGTCCCAGGTTCAAGTTGTTCATATACAGCATATGAACACAAGGTAAACATGATGAAATGTCACAGGCGATTCGGAAAAAATAGTTTGGTTAGGTCATTTATTCTTCAATTAGTTGAATGTTTGGCCTCATTCCTGGGCTTAGTACCAAACCCTATTCAAACTAATTTCCGTTTTTCTCTTACGTCAATTGTGCTAGTTACCGGTAAAAACAATGCTTGTGTATTTCAGAAATATTAAAGAATCAGTTAAACGTAATTTTCAGTTTCGCACACCAGATCACCTAGTTCGGTTTGACCAAACGGGTGTGGCCCGAATCCGAATAGTTTTACCTTATATTTGGCGAATGAGTTAATATTTACTAACATTAAATAATCTAAACACTGTTCAGAAAAGAATTCACTTTGACAGAATTAATTTCGAACCTATGATGCAACTATCAACCACCTGCCATTTCAAGAATATCATATGGTTGTTTATATATGGATTATTAGGGTGTTCAGCTGAAAAACTTCTGGACTGTAGTAAAATTCCAAATAGCTACCGATTTTTCCGTTTCTACTTTTCTTCCACTGCCATACGTTGACGTCCAACTTATCGTACCTAAGCATTACTTTTTTATCTCTTTATTGATCAATTAATAGGTTTCCAGCTTATTTAGAACTTCATAGCTTATTTTTATAGACAAAAAAGATCTTTTTAAAACCTTTAGCAGTATAATGCACTGATTCAGGTTACAAAGCTTGATAAGATAGAGAAAAATGTTGACAGGGTAATTAAACACAACCATAAGATGATTAGAATTTACGATAATAGTCTACGCTCATATCATATATAAATCGATGCAATATTAGATTTTCAAACTACTGAGTTTCGTAACGATGACCACAGATTCCGCAATACTCTATGCAGGTCGGTATCATACGTAGTTGTCCAACTTGTCAGTCTGACTATTTTCAGGTTCCTACCGTTGTAGATCTGCTCCATATAAATTGTTGATGTGATATGCACCTCAAGATGTAAAATATCTCCTGACCACCTTAGGCAATGCAGATTAACACCATAACTCCCAACGTCTCTCATTGGCATTGTGTACCTTATGGTCCCCCGTCAACAGCACTGATAGTCAAGTACATATAGCTATATGATCTTTATCTCCAGCTGTTGAATTTCAGTCGTAAAAACAGAACAGTTTTGGATTTTAAACATCACACAGCCGGATACACATCTTAACATCCCCACTACAATGAATGTTGTCGGTCATCTGGGTTAACAGGCCTTTTTCTCTACGACTGGTGAGGAAATAAGTCAGCTGTTTCTAAAACACGTGTTTGCTCGTACTAATCATCCTGCATTTAATATGTGTTACGCACGTTCAATAATTTAGATCTTTGATTAGAGTTCGGAAAATGTAGCTTGATGTAATTAGATCACATTGTCATTACTATGTTTATTCACGTGGTAATAAATTCAGCTACTGTTTTTATGTTATCGACCAAAATTATCAATAGTAGGAATTAAAAGTAAGCAAAAGTAAAATTATCATATAATATACATAAATGCACAAGGTATAAATTATTCATTACAAGTCTTCCACCAGGCAATATTGCGCTTTTAGGTACTACAACCGTTTGAGCGCTTTACGAAATGACGAGTTATTGCGTTGTGTCACTTTAGAATGTGTACGCGCATCAGTCGAATTACCTGACCTGAAATGAGATAACAGTGAAATACCGAGACTTTGAGAACAATGCGAAATTTATCACGTAAATTTATGTTATTCTATGAAAATACAGATACTAAATCATTGTTACAAACTTTGGAAAAATCGTTACTGCTGAAGGGGTTTATGAACTAATGTATTGTTTATTGGATAAAAATCACTCAATTTATAAGAAATTTAGAATTGACAAAATACATAGCTAATACTCCGAATACCTCATACAATATTAGCAAACAACTGTGCATAAGGCCCTAAAGAGGACACAACCATTTATATCGACACGTTTTATATCAGTTACATTTATCTACTGTGCAAAAAGTTCGAATTAATCCGCAAACTTTCAACAGTAGTATCAACGACTGAAAAAATAATCCTAAAAGGTAACTTACATAACCATAACTAGAACCCACAAAAAATTAAACAAAGATAAAACATACAAAGGGGACACATGTGCCAAGACCAGATTACATGGAAGGAAGCACTTGTGAAAGCTGACTTTTCTGGTATCTAACTGTCATCAACTCTACGCCTAAATCCACAACGAGGAATGAAGTTTCGAAAGCGATTCAGGGAAATATCTAACGCATCTATATTCGGACTCCTATATAGACAATATCCCTCGTTTAGGTTCGATATAACAGCCTTTAGTTATAAATTATTATACTGAAAGCACATAAACGAAATTTGTTATATGGTTTGACCAAAACTGCCACGGAAATCAAGAGGAACACAACTAAACAAACTTAAGATAGATTGAATTATGTGGTGAAACTTAAACATATCGGCAGAATACGGTAAGCGAAGATGTAAATATTGATTATGTTTTCTGACTAGATTTTCTGCGGCCTTGTTAATATTGGATTGTTAGCTTAGATTACGAATTCAAGTTTATGCATGTGCTAATTCAACTTACATATCGACACTTGCATGGTCGTCTTGATGCAACTTCTGACTACCGACTTTTGTTTGTTCCCGAACATGCCAGTAAGCATGTACTTCTGTGAGGAGCCGAGCTTCTGCCACAAATTCACCGTAATCTTCTAATAGCAACTTTCCAGCTTCCTCATTAAGAGCTGACTCTGGATTCGGTTCTATCAACAAACACCTTATAGTCTAAGGAGTAAGTTCCAACTCATTAACTCACTAAAAGGATATGTCGGAGTCCCAAATTGGATTTCCAATCCTTCTTCAGTGTGTTTACGCAAACCTCTCCGGTGTTTGGTGCTATGTTTGGGTGAAAAATTTTCGTGCAGAAGTAAGCCTTCGGTGGTTCCATCGGATACTGCATAGGAATCAACATCTTCAGACGGAATTTGCCACCATCATAAGGGGTACCAACTGGACCATCAAGTACAACCTGACAAATTAAAAAGACAGAAAATCAACTGACTTGAACTTCCGTCATATCTTGCTCATTGAGCATTAACTGGATGCCTTCGACTGGTTCAGCTGTGAAATCACGCCACTCTTTGTACAAACGGCGAGCAAATTCGGGAACCGCATTCTCCATCTACACCTGTTTTGGGCTGACCTTCAACTTCACACGCGCGTTTTAAGAAATTGAAGGTATAATGAAGCCAACTATTATCTTCCAATGTCCAATGTGCAATTTTATGTGTTTCGAATATCTATGTCACGTGAAACGGAATACTTCAGGCTGCGAACTTCACTTTACTTATCTAAAACTACCTACACATATCTGAACACGCTTGGGTAACACATTTCGACGTTCTTGATGAAATAAACCATCAAAATGAAAGTATGATCTCAGATCTGGACATCCTGTAAAAGTGGAGTCATTTGCTTCATGACTGGTATCTTGTTTTTTTTGTTACCTATAGCTTTCTGTCTACCTTCCACTATGCAAGACAGCACTACATAGCGATTCGATATCCGACAAATATGACTCAAGTACACCAGTCGATGACAATCCAGTATGTTTCAAACTGAATCACTATTATTAGTTCAGCCATTCTGTTCAAAGTCATTGGACCAGGCCATGACTCAGTCTGATCTTAATGCAAAACTTCACACTCTAAAAAACTAACTCTAAGCACAAGTGCAGTAGGACAGAGTGATAAGTTTTAGTTTCGACTATGTTTTATGATGCTGTTACTTTAATATAGCTTTTAAAATCTATTCAAACTACACACCATCTTTGTTAGTGAAAAGGTAACTGTCAGTATGAAAGCCTCGAGGTTCAGAAAATCAACTGATGCTTCTCGTAAAGTTGTGTTCCGAAATCATGAAATAACGATTGTCTTATTCTTATCGAATGTAGGATTTATGAATTTCATAAACCTTTAGTCTTTACTTTGTTTCGTGCTTTCAAAAACGTTTGTCTGAATATGCATACAGACCTTGTTAGGCTAATTATCAGAGCCAGACCTGAATGTTCGAGGTTATTTTTCCCTCATTTGATCATCAGTATTTTGTGTATCTTATCCAAGACTCTATACTCTAACAACTTTTCATGTATCTCTTTGGGACCCTCATATTGCTATTGTTCATCGCCTTAAATGAAGCACTTTTAAAAGTAGACAATACCCTAAACCTTAGGTTTTTATTTCAAGGTTAACTTGGTTTTTATTATATGACGCCTAAAGCAATTATATCGATCTTCATGTCAGACCACTAGAAATTGGTAAAAACAGTCCGTTTGTTGCTATGAGTGCTAATTAACTCAGTTTTCTTGCTGTCAAAATATGCTTACGTGATAATGTTATTTGTGTTATACGGTCATCAAAGCAGCCATTGCACTTGGATACGACGAATGGGTAATTCACACCATGTACTAATCGTGGGATATGGCCCCGATCACAGCTGACTGCCCACATCATTCCTGTCTAACCCGAGACCTAAAATCACTCAATACAGAGCATCCACGTCGTTGATCTATACGCGCTCAATACGAGTTTAACCACCAAACCAGTCACAAATGTAGCGTTGACATCGAAAAATACGCTACCTCAGTTCACTCTGAGGATTAGTATTATGAGTCGAACGACATGTCACGCGCATCGTTCCAAAATAACCTGACGCCTGTATTGATGAATCCGACGTCACCAAAACCTAGGTGGGTACCCTTCCTTGCTTTTACCAGATGACATACACTTTGTTCGGACTAATATCCTGTGCACCGCAGCCGTTTGTTTTGTGGGTGTTGCATTTGCTCGCTTACGTTATTTTGTCTTCTGGTCTTAATAAAGTAGGATCAAACTGAACAAAAAAACTTATAAACGATAAGTCCTTAAACTGATAAATTAATAATTTTATTCATAAAGCAACAGCTAACACATTTTAACTAACAAAACACCACAAATACTGTACAATATATACACCAGTTACACTTCACCAAGAGAGCTAATTGCCGTCCCCGTTGTACGCGAGAGACTCCTAGTTGTAAAGAAAAAACAGAAGAGGGGAGTGAGTCACATCACAATCTTGAATATTTTAAACAAACAGTAAAGAGTTAATATAAGCAGATGTGTTAAATAACCAATCACGCATTTTAATGGAGAGTATAAAATAATACCTGGTTGTTTAGATAAACGCAAAGTGCCATCATACAATAAGTATGCGCAGTATTAATTCCTATGTACTATCAAACAAATTTTTACTCTTCTTGCTGATGTAACCGCTTCAACGTAGTGATGTAAAAGACAGATATAGCGTAGCCTACTTCTAATAATATACACATTAATTTCAATACATGTAAAATTCAGATAGTTTTGTGGTGTTTATGATGTTGATTTATTAGCATGCTTTATCTAACACTGAAAATAGAGGTAAATAAATACTAATGAGCTCAAGCATTTAGTGTAATTTTAAAAGTAATTCAAGAGTAATCAATGGGACCAAAAATTCATGATATTATATATGACAACAATATAAAGCAGAATATATATGTAAATGAAATGGATTTTGACGTGACTTTATGGGCCGCTAGTCATCACGTAATCTATTCACAAATCAAAATACAACTTATTCGCTTTTATACTGTACTAAACCAATAACGTCCGACCGGTCTGATCAGCCTAGCGTCCTATTGGTCCGTTGCTCGCTTAACCCATCCAGTCGAGTTCAGAATGCCAATAACAGCCTCCACTATGCGAATTATTTATTTCAGATATACTGGGTTTATATATCAACCAAACAGACCGCAACGCACCATAAAATAAGAAATAACAACTATACACAAAAAATGGCTGTGAACGTGGGCGATAGTAATTAATTGAGTATAACTTATGAACAGTAAATCGTACAATAATAATCTATAGGTCAAAACGAAGCTTATAATAAGGGGAATATAGATATACATAATGTAATTACTGAATAGTTATACTATAAGAATATATAGATAATACTTGTCCATTAATAGATCTCAGAAGTTACTCGTAATTTAATCCTTGCTAGGATATAACAGATTTTTTTAGAGAAAGGTTGCACGAATCGCACATGAGCTTACATCTACCTTAATATGCTACGTCAATAAGTGACGGATCAAGAATATGCATGAATCCACTAGGCTGTTGGCAACTAGTAGCAGATGAGTCCATTAAGAGACGTTTCCAAGTTGGGATCGAGAGGCCAATAAATAAGTCCCACTTCTAGACCAATAAGTTTTTAAAACTCACTTAAGCAAAATTAGTCCACATATTTGTGATATCTTAGTAAGGAATTGAATTCCTGATGTTTCGTGTGTCCTTCAAAAAACAATTAAATAACTGAAATAAGCCAACGCGAATTCGAACCGTGAAGAGGGACAAGACAGAACATTTGGTACAATTGAACTAAGTCTGATAGTGCCAGTGTAACGAGATTTCGGTCAAGGTGATTTTGTGTTAGACTTCACTGTATGTTAGTGAGTGTGAAAAATGTAATGCTTTTTAGATCTGAAAGAATAGAGCAGAATTAGCATTTGTCCATTATATAAGAAATGAACTACTTTAAATGCGATTGTTTGAATTAACGGTCGAAGTTCGTTGAATAGAAAGGTCTTTACCCCTATTGTTAGTTGTGGCGTTTAGCAAAGCTTCAGCAACCAGTCTTTCTATATATTTAGAAAGAATTTTTTGAATTATTTTGATATTTTTAATATCGACTTGATGGCTTCGAAATAAGAATCTAATACTATTGATCCGTGAATTTCCCAGCTCTACAGAAATACAAGGTCTTTTGGTGTAGTTTAGATATTTTTTAGAATTGGTCGAGATTTCACGGGAACTCTTTGACCTATAAAAATGTTTTTAAACACAGCTTTATGTAGAAGTAAAAGAGATCTTTCCTTTTATTCGAAGAGTGCTAGTTGTTATATAGAACGATTTAATTATGTGTAGTTTCAGGATTCAGGACATTCCATTACTTTATTAACATAAATGATCAGCTCAACCCCCAACTTTTTTGAAATTATTAAGTCAAACCTTCGCAACGGGAACTAACACAGGAAAATAAATACCAATATAAGAAGTGCTAGACAAAATGGTGACCGTACCAAGAGAAACTAAGGTTGTTTGAACTACACACCTATAAAATCTGAATAAAATCAGAAAAACTAAGTATGGGACTAGTGTCCCGAAATTAATTTCCATATAGTGTGTGCAGTAAAAGTATGTTGTAGCGTAGATTATACATAGTTAACGATGATAAGACAATGATAATAGTAATAATAATAAAATCAATTGATAAACTTCTGATAAGAAATGCCACATTATAACAGGTGAAACAGGATAAAACTGCAAGGTCAGAAGAGAGAATATCGAAGGAAACTGCACACAGACTATATATAACTAAGGCTTCTGCAAAGTAATCGAGGAGTAAGGATAAATCCTGAAGTAGATTAGATCAGATTTTATAAGTAATATGAAGTAAGTTACTACTTACAAGTCAAATAATGAAGCGACTAATGCAACTGGAAATAATTCAGATAAAATTAAAATTTTCTCAAATATGACCCTAACCCTATTGTGATTAAGATTTAATATTCACAACCAACCCATTCATGAAAGGAAATTTTTTACACCTTCTGTGCTAATCATCAGTGTAGTCTAATATCAAATGAAATCAACAATTTAAAAATGAAGTTATCGGTAGTTACTATTATTATGAAAAAACGGATACAAAATGGAAAATTTTTTAAATTATTTGCCTTTTTTCCAATTCTGAACAATAATAATCTAGCAAGAAGGAGTAAGGTGGTCGCGGACAGGGAAAATATGCACTTGGATAAGTTGTTTCTGGTAACATTTTCATTGCTGGAAGCACTATAGCACGTTGTTAGTGTTTTAGAAAGAGGAACTTATTGGACTTTTGAGGTTTGCAATTCTCATTTTTACAAGAATCAGAAACCGTACATAAAATCTGTATGCTCATGTCTACGTTCTCTGGTAGATGATAGATTACATTGATGAATATGACGAAAGATAAGAAAAATTCTCGTTGATGGAGGGGGTGGGTGTTAATAATTGAAACACAGTAGCATTACTAATATTATTATTCATGTATCCTTCTTCTTCGTCAGTAAATACTTAGCAACAAGTTCCTGATCAAGTAATCCCGACAAACGATTATGTACGCACTGTTCAGCATTCTTATGATCACAAATACTGTCAGACAAACGTGAATCTGGATGACCTGTTCAATAATTTGTATGATATTAGACAGTAATTGTTTTCGCAGTGGAACACTTAACTCATGATGACCTTATCAATAATTCAGTTTATTGTATATCCACTACTTATTTCTTGCATATGATCTTTAGCTACTGTTTATTGCGAAATTTATTACGTAGATGACTGTTCAAATTATGACATGATATTCATGACCTTCGTATAAAACTTGACTAGTCAATAAGATATTGATTACTCGGGTTAGTGTTGTAGCACTAGATATGTAAGCAGAAAACAGTAACGATATCTAATAAGGGATATGTTATGTAATACCCTATTAACCTGAACAAACTTCGAACAACATATTGCTCAAAACTTTTATAGTATTAAATATCTTTAAAGTTTCCAAGTTAAAATATTCCTACTAGATATCATTATGCCCTGGTGCGGTCCATGGTGGGGAGAGTCCACTCTCTCTTAAAATGCTCTGGCCACCACACGTATACAGTCACTGCCAGGGAAGCCCAACTCGCTGCCTTCTCGTAGCGGAAGTGTTGTTTACGGAATTGAGAAGACGAAAAGCGAATGTATGGAGCTTTAACCGGGTTGGTTGACACAAATGATCTACCCAGGGGAGTTAGAAAACCCTGATTTCAAACCAATGGTGCACATGGACTCCAGGATCCTGGAGGAACAAATGTAGTACGAACCAGTCGTTGGTCACCGGCTACCGTGGGACTACATCTCCCGATGTTGCTTCACTACTTTGTGGATCAGACCTATAGGTCAACGGCTCCTGGTGTGGCCCCCTAAGGAAGCTACTTACTTTGGTTTGGGCACCTGGAGAGTATCATAGCACACATAAAAATCAAGTGACTTGTGAGGCGCATATGTATTCGGTGCATTTTTCTACCAACATTTATGTGTTCAAATAATAATAATAATCTTACTAGATAATATTTAGCAACGGTTTAGTGATATTTATTACACAAATTGATGTAATAGTAGAAAAAATAAACACATTGATTTATATTAGTAAACTGAATGACGACTACGTAGCACAATCTTTGGTTACTTTTGAATATGTCATGAGATGGATTGTGATTAAAAGTAGAGTATAAAATGGGACTTAATGACTGGATCTACCATCATTGCAGTGTTGATGTTCACACCCAACAAGATGAAACGCACGTTCTTAATCCGTTTGCTAACTGCAATTCATCTCTTCTATAAAACTAGTAATGGGATGACTATATCAAAGTGTTATAACGCTCGGTTTTACTTTGTCTAATGTTATAATGGTTAGGTTTCTACGTTTACATGTATGAGACGTTTATTTTATTTATTTAATTGAACACATAAATATTGGTACAGAGGGGCACCAAATATATATGCGCCACACAAAACAATCAGAATGTAAATAGAAGGGAAAAAAGGTAAGGAACGTAGGGAATTGTAAAAAAAGAACAATAATGGGGGAAACGAAAAGGCATAATCAGAGGAAATCTTACAGTTAAGGAAGAAGCAACCACTTTTTATGAAGAAAGTAAAATAAAGTTACAGCAGGATCGCCGTTGGCTTCTATTCTGAGCCATATCTAATAACGTCTCTAGCCACTGTGTTACACCATCTCTCGGACCCCAGCCAGGGAGTCGTGAACGACCAACACAAGCCAGCCCTTTGCAGCTTTCTTTCATACCACGACACCATGTCATATACTGACCACCTCCCTGCTTTTTCCAACCTGTCCCAGAGTCGGCAAATAATGCACAACGTGGAATTCTCTGGGACGACATTCGTAGAACATGTCCAAGCCACCAAAGTCGGTGTTTCAAGATGGTGACACCAATTGCATTGTCGTCTCTGTGCCCGAACACACGATATCGAACCTCTGCATTACTAACATGGTGTTGCAACTGGATGTCAGCAATTCTTTGGACACAACGATGGTCAAACACAGAGTCGTCTAACATCCTCAACTCGGAGGTCAGGTTTCACAAGCATGGAGCAAAACTGCTCTCACCGACGCGTTGTAGATCCGACCTTTTACAACCAGACTGACATCACGAAGGTGCCAAAGGTGACTCAGATTGGCATAAGCCGCTCTGGCTTTCACTATACGTGCATTGATCTCATCACTCACGCCACCACCAGCACTTATGCAGCTACCCAGATACACGAACTTCTCGACTACTTCTATCTGCTCACCATCCAGAGTGAGCACAGGATTAGAATCCTGCCACTCTTGTAAAAGTACTTTGCACTTCGAAGGTGCAAAGCACATACCATACCTACGTACACTGATTGCCAACTGATTAAGTGCGGATTGCATGGCTTGGGCATTCTCGTACAGTAAGACAATATCATCCGCATACTTAAGGTCGAGAAGTCTTTCTCCAGGCAACAGATCCACAACACCACACCACGTTAATTTACCTTAGACGAATATCTAACAGTAGATTCCCTCGCAGTGTCTATTCTGACCACAATGTAAATATATTTCCACACCAAAAACTCTACATAATCCAACAACAATAAACAATCAATAATAAGTCCGTCCTAATAATAATAAGGATAAAGTAATATATAACTCATCTGACACCTGTTAAACTATCTATATGTCCGACTAAGCAGACAACCAATCATTATCATTCTCACCCACAAAGTAATCCGCATACAATGCAAATATACTATGACTGATCAAAATTCAGTCAACAATGATATAATTCAAACATTTGCAAACTAAATCTATTGAAACTATTACCAATCGGAAATGAATTAGTTTAGATTATTGAGTTATACAGAGGATGATTTCTCTCTTTTTCGGTTTTTTGAGTTCATTAGCTTTTAGGTCAACTAATTATTATTATTATTATGATAAACCTGCATGTGTTTAAAGTAAACTTGTCAATTGCACCATAAATATGAATATGTTAATTGTAATTTGTAGTCAAAAACAACATTACGCTACCTTTAAAGCTTATATTAATTCTGTTCAACAGTTAACTAATGAATAATTACCAATTTATTGTACATTTATTTGGATCACATATTTAGGCTTTTTATTTTTATCTAAATTCAACTTGTTAGAATAATTAGAAAATTATTCTGTATAATGTAAAACATCTACTTTCCAACTAATTATTATTAATTATTATTTCTATAATACATTAACGAAATGCTACCGTTTAAAAAGATGAATTATTTAACACAAAGTAAATTTTACTTAACATTCACTCTAATTAAATATTATCGCGTCAATCTCTTCGATTTGCTATATTAAATTTCTGGAGAACCCTAAAGTTTAGTTACACCCATATAACGAGACATGATGGAAAACAATATTCCATCATGGACTTACAGTAAGTGGATGAAAGGAAAAGACTAAAAAATGCAATGTACTCTAGAATAAAATCGAAATTCTAGATCTCTAGTATAAAATTGTGATCAGTGTATGTTCACGTATCTTTTTCTATCTTCAAAATGTTGAGGACACTTATTTACAATGTTAATACATCTTACTCAAACAGTGAACATTATGTAACTGATAAATTTTAAAATTGTAGATCCTATCAGTTTCCGAAACATAATTCTCATTTTTAATGAGGTTAAACATTTATATGATTTGTCTACTCACTTCGTAAAACCCAGTTTGGTAACCACAAATAAACCAACTCAGCAATAATGGATGTAATTGTAATTCACTGATGTGTTGTTGTATATTTGAAATATCTAATGATCGATTCTGTTTTATGGACTGAGATATATTCTCAGCCGAAAATTCACTAAGTCCATGTTTACACGAATTTTTAATTTTCGATTCCTGTTTTTTATTACGAGGAATAAGTGGATTAAGTGAAGTTTTGTGCAAATGAGAAGTAATTTCATTTAATTCTTTTATGTCCGCATCTTGGACAGAGGATTCGTATGTTTCCCTGAGAATAAAAAATGTTCCAAAACAATAATACACAAGGTTTAACCCGGAGTGTTAACCATTGAATATTACAAAACAGCAATAAAACGTAGGATAAATAATATACAATATCTACAAAGAATGAATTGTTACAATGGCAGAATAAGCTAACAAGTTCCTTAAAATTAAATAATTTATCAAGTCCCCTCAATTTTCAAGACTAGTTTTAAGTGAACTGTAAAAATTCCTATATGGAATGCGAGTCACAGAGATTTCTTTCAGGTCATTCGAGTTCAAGAAGTCTTACATAACACAATATACCGACCAAATGCGTTCCGCGTATTTAGCTACTACTTTAAAGTTAGAAGTACCAGGTACAGTTTAGCTGTCTTTACAGTGATCGCATACTATTGTCTCAAAAAAACTTATTGAATGGAGATTTCTTCTAGTTAAATTCTAAGAATCCAAATTTTAACTAGAATTTGACAAGGTAATGACCGATGTATTTTAAAACAAATACTTACGGAACAAAGAAAAAATTAAAGCTACAAGAAATAAAGTTAAGAGCATAATTTGTTGTTAGAGCTCTCCGTCTCTCTGCTAAACTGCAGTTAAGAACAGTAAGAACTAAATATTTCATACAACCCACTATAATTTACTGTTTGACAGATAGATGGAGTATTATATACGGGACAAAATTCGATCCCCTAACACAACGATATTAGTTACAACTCAGAAAAACATCCTTTATTACTTACTCCTGACATGACTATAAGAATATTTGTCACGAGTAACTGACAACTACAATCTAGATGATGAGGAAATTACTTAGTACATCATTCCGCACTAAAAACGGATAAAATAGTGCATAACTACTAATAACTGGTAACAAACTTCACGTCAGAACTCAATATCACTGAACATACATACTACAAAAGTTATACAAACTATGAGAAGTCTGAAAGTAGACGATGCATTCGACAGGTAACTAATTCAACTATTAACGGAATATATTTTACTCAAAAATACAAACTATAATAAATCCATGACTTTGTACACAAGGTACCCGATCATTATTTAACAGGGGTCAGATTTACTTTATCAATTTATCTGGCCAGTAATTGCATACAATATAGAAAAAGGAAAAACTGTCATTTCCAAAAGGTTCTATTTTTGATCAAACTAGCTCAAATTTACTCCTATAAGGAATATCACAGTTGATCGGTCTCAAAAACTTTGCTGCTACTACCAATTTGTTCAAATGAATAGATATTCGGATTTAATGAACACTTTTTGAAACTAAAACTCTTTACGCACACTACTGACAAATTTCGTACAAGGCGATGGGAAAAAACTACCTGGTGTTGGTGGTATCCAGCTAATTTTGCACTTAGTTATGATTCTTGAAAAGTTTCCATTTCGCCCCTAAGTTAAAAAGAAATACGCAAAGACAACAGGAAAAAAGGACCAACAAAATCTAATTTTTTTAATAACCTATAATAATCCACTATCCTAGATAATAATAAAAATATTCCAAGATGCTTACCGTTTACTATCATGATCTTCCTCGAGTTCATATTGATTACTGATCTGTTCCTTAATAAACAGATGAACCATTAACCAATGATAACAATACCTTCATTGAAAGCGCAAATGATTTATTCATAATGTCTGTCACGTACACCTCAAATTCAGAATTAATATTATACAGGTCTTTAGAAGACTTCTGTTCAACATTCTCATAAAAACAAAATGATACTGTGAAAATATCATTTTCATAATCGGCTGTTAGTATTTTAGCGTAGTAATAGGCTTCATCTTCACTCCATATGCAAATGCACATGTCTCCATTGTTCCATAATTGGACAGGATTCTTTTGGCTTTCAGTTTTCAAGCTAATTGTATTCTACATATAATAAAGTATCTTTTGTTATTTAATACTACTTTTAAAACAAACCGTAGTGGGCGGGAGATTTAATAAAGAGTTAAGTTTTATAGCAAAATAAGAGTAATCCACTGACTAAAGACAGAATTAGAGCAGAATAATCCTACATACATCTAGAGTTGACGTGATGTTATCATTTTTAGATAATAATTTAACGTTTTCTGGTGTTATATTTAGCAAATCACTGGAATAACATGAAGTTATGTAACTGTTTGAACGAACAGTAACAAGTGAGCTTTCCAAATTGATTTCCTCAATAAAAAATAAATCATAAACTTTGTTTTCATGCTGATAAATGCAAACATCTCCCAGAGACCACATCATTTAGTCAGAATTACGAAATAAATCAATGAAATCTTGATGTCCAGAAGTTCATCTGTAAATAATAAAAAATGCGGAATATTAGATTTAAGATGAATTGCTTTAAGACATGAAAATAATTCAGTAATACACCATATTTGTTTATCAAACCTTGAGACATTTATTATGAAGGTGGGATATGAAGTAATTTTTCCCAAAATGTTATTAAGTGAAATGAGTTTTATAGAACCCAGCTCAGTAGATGATTGCTTGGATATTACCGCTTCCAATGAAAGCAGTACGCGATTCGTTACAACTGAAGTTGTGTTTTGAAAGACAACATAAGTTGAACAACAAGTTCATGACAAATAAATTACTTTCAAACAGTCAATTTAAGCTACATGAATAAGTAGTTAATACTTATTTAAGTAAAATCAGCAGGCTTCCTTGGCTAAAACCTTAGAATCTCGTACCATTGATGTATGCTGTGTCTCCGAAACACGCATACAGGATCCTAGTGTCGTCATTCACTTGACCTCACCTCGGCAAAACGGAGAGCCAACGAGATACACCCTCCGTGTATCTGGCGACCCGATGGCTAGTTCTCGTGGACTGGCAGGTGTAGGCATAGCACTTAGCATGAGGGCGGAACAAGCGCTATTAGAGTGGATCCCCGTTAACAGTCGTCTATGCGCTGTTCGGCTAAACGGCTCCGTAAGAACTCGGAAGGATAGGGACACACGTCGTTGCCTTTTCGTCGTTTCTGCCTACGCTCCCACTGACTGCAGTTCGGATGAAGTGAAAGATGAATTTTACAGAAAGCTGTCTGAACTTCTTCAGAAAGCTAAACGTTCAGACATAGTACTCGTAGGAGGTGACTTTAAGTCCCAGGTAGGTAGCTTAAACAAAACAGAAAGACATTTAGGTGGGTATTTTAGTATTCCGGCACAGCGAACAGATAATGGTGATCGTCTGCTGCAACTGTGCTCAGACAATCGTTTATTTTTAGCAAACACAAATTTTAAGCATAAGGAGAGACATCGTCTAACATGGCGACCCCCAGCACCAAACCAACGATGGACTCAAATAGACCATATTGCCATCAGTCATCGTTGGAGAGGGTCAATAGAAGATTGTCGCTCATTCTGGGGTACCTGCTTGGACTCTGATCATGCCCTAGTACGAGCACGCATCTGCTTGCGCCTCACTGGACGCAAAAGAGCCACACAAAAAAGACTCATTAGAACCGAATTGAGTAATGAGAAAACCAAAAGTAAGTTCCAGGAACAACTGAGGTCACATTCAGGTAGTTCTGAAAACGAGACTGACCCTGATGTTGCTTGGAAAGTTATACAAGCAGCTGTGGAAACAGCAGTGACATCTACTAGTGACTTAAACCACAGGGTTACAAAAAACCAATGGATTTCGTCAAGGTCTATTGCACTGATAGATTCTCGCAAACTCATCCCATCAGGTTCTGAATACGATGAAGAGCGTAAAGAAATCAAATCTAGATTAAGCAAAAGTCTAAAGAATGATCGTGAGCAGTGGTGGGCAACGAAAGCAAAAGAGATGGAAAAGGCGGCGGCTATAGGGAATACAAGACAACTCTACAGACTAATAAAAGAAACTGGAATTAATAAATCAAGTGTAAGTCAGACCATTTCGGAAAAAGACGACACTCTCATCTGCTCCCAGTCCAGAAGCTTAGAACGATGGGCGGAACACTTTAAGGAGCAGTTTAGCTGGCCTTCAGCTACTCTACAACTACCCTCTATTCCCAGACAGTGTGAATGGAACATTGAAGTAGGTCCCCCAACTCTAGCTGAAGTTCAAAAGGCTATAGCTAATCTGAAACGAGGACGGGCAGCTGGTCCAGATGGATTGGCCCCAGAGGTCTTTAAGGATGGTGGTCTAGTCTTAGCGATTAGGTTGACTAATATTTTAGCTAAAATCTGGGAGTTAGACGTTATTCCATCTAACTGGTCACAATCACTTATCGTCCCAATATTTAAGAAAGGGTCAAAATCATCCTGTGACAACCACAGAGGGATTAGTTTGACTAATATAGTATCTAAAATACTAGCTTCGATAATTTTCGGACGCCTAACTAAGACTCGTGAGCTGCAAACACGTGAAAATCAGGCTGGCTTCAGACCTGGTCGTGGCTGCATCGACCACATATTCACCATTCGTCAGGCATACTTATCGGCGTCCGACAATGGTGGTATTCCTTGACTTAAAAGCAGCGTTTGACTCTGTTGACCGAGAGGTTCTGTGGCAGTGTCTGTCATTGAAAGGCGTACCTCAGAAGTACATAAACCTTGTGAAGGCTCTTTACTCGAACACTACTAGTCGGGTCAGAGCCTATGGCGAACTGTCATCTGCTTTTGCAACCTCAAGTGGCGTCCGTCAAGGCTGTCCACTTTCTCCGTTTTTGTTTAACTTTATCATAGACATCCTGATGGAAATAACGCTCTCATCGACTGACTTCTCGGGTATTGATCTCCTACCTGGAGGTCCACTTATTGACTTAGAATACGCAGATGACATAGTCCTGTTTGGTGAAGACGCTGATGAAATGCAGAGTCTTTTGGTAGCATTGAGCAACAATGCTAGAATGTTTGGGATGCGCTTCACTCCCTCTAAATGCAAGTTGTTGCTTCAGGACTGGTCTGCGTCAACACCTGAACTAAGGATAGGGAGTGAAGTTGTCGAACGCGTTGACAACTTCACTTATCTTGGAAGTCTGATCAGCCCTAATGGGTTGGTGTCTGACGAAATCTCAGCACGGATTCGAAAAGCTCGTTTGGCCTTTGCCAACTTACGTCATCTATGGAGAAGGCGAGATATCCGTCTATCAATTAAGGGTCGAGTATACTGCGCGGCAGTTCGTTCCGTCCTTCTATACGGCTGCGAAACATGGCCTTTAAGAGTGGAAGATATTCGTAAGTTACTAGTATTTGACCACAGGTGCCTTAGAAATATTGCTCGCATCTGCTGGGATCACCGGGTAAGTAATAGTGAGGTTAGACGCAGGGTATTACGGAATGATGGTAAATCAGTCTATGAGGTTATGAACCTTCATCGACTGAGATGGTTGGGCCACGTGTTGCGTATGCCTGATCACCGATTACCACGACGCGCAATGCTAACCGATGTTAGGGATGATTGGAAGAAAGTTAGGGGCGGCCAAACCAAAACGTGGCATCAGTGCTTGAAGTCACTAACTTCTGGTCTGAGCCATGTTGGGAGATTCAGACTGCCTGGTTGGGGTCCGCGTGACTATCGTAACCAATGGTTGGAGACTCTTGGTGACATGGCTCAGAATCGATCACAATGGCGTCGGTGTATACACTCTGTCTTCCTTCAATTAAGAGATTAAAATCGCTTCATATCTGTCTAGGAACTAATTCTTTCTTCCTTTACTATCTCCTTATACACAATCTATCTTCTATATATTACCACCACTGAATTAACTACTTCTATGAATCCGGTGTTCATCTTGTTGTGCTAATGCGGTATGGCAACTTGGACCGATGCATATACGTGCCTGGTCCTACGTTGCAGCTGACTGACTGACTGAACAGATTTGTGATACAGTAGTAAAACTTTCCGAAACCAAGGTATTGAAGTCAGCCAGTCACAATGTAGAACCTGGTACGTACTTACTTATTTGAATACATAAATATTGGTAGAAAAATGCACCGAATACATATGCGCCTCACAAGTCACTTGATTTTTGTGTGCTGTGATACTCCCCAGGTGCCCAAACCAAAGTACGTAGCTTCCTTAGGGGGCCACACCAGGAGCCGTTGACCTATAGGTCTGATCCACAAAGTAGTGAAGCAACATCGGGAGATGTAGTCCCACGGTAGCCGGTGACCAACGACTGGTTCGTACTACATTTGTTCCTTCAGGATCCTAAAGTCCGTGTACACCTGGCACGTCTGTACATTACTTCAAGTTCTCATACACCATTAGCACAAACAGATGAAATTATTAGACCAAATCCCACAATAGTAGAGGTACTAACAGTTTCACTGGTAATAGGAAAGATTAGGCATCAAAGTTCTTACTCGGAAAGTGAATATAATTTACTTAAGTAGAACGAAAATAAGTTATGAGGAATATAGAATCTCAAGATTTTGGGGAACACAAACAATGGATGCACCTGAGCCATTCCAAACGATTTTGAGCTATTTCATTCAAAGTCTCTAACCATTGGTAGCGATGATCACTCAGACTCCAACCAAATAGTCAGCATCTGTTGGCATGGCTAAGTTCAATTATGTTATATTTCTCTCTTACGGTTATAACCCAGCTATTCCTATTGCTTAGTATTCTCGGACACCAATTCACTCGACAAGGCCCCAAATCAGAACACGGTTGAACAGGAAAGAGATTATATTCCAAATAACAAGGTTAGATGGAAGCAAGAAGCACAATAGGAAAATCGTTAGTATATTTATAGTTTTTGCATACAAAGCATCGGCTAGCGCTGATTGGACAAGAATTAACCAATCAGCGTGCGCCAACGTAAGCGTGCAATGAGCATGATTTAATCCAATCTATGTCCCGCTAACAAATTGTCAGTAACTTTATGGATGGATGTTATGTTTTGGTTTATTTATTTATTTGAACACATATTGGTTTGGTCGCCCTCAGCTTTCTTCCAACCTACTCTTACATCACATCTCCCGTTGAAGTAGGTGGTGGTCGGACATAATTAACAAGTATCCCAACCCCCTTAAGTGCTTCCAAGTTTTCCATGGTGGTCTAGTTTCAATTGACTCATGATCTTAACTATTGAAACTAATATAATATCCACAAAAACCCCGAATAATACTAGTTCTCTAGATACACAAAGGGTCTTCTATATTGACAATATGAGGTCAAATGAATGACTGTACTTGAGTCTTGTATGCATATTGCGGAGGCTCAGCAAACATCGATTGAGCGAGATTCCAGAGTCCTAGCTAAAGAAGCCTGTTGTCTTGTCTGA